AGTTCAGGAGCCCGGTGTGGCATATGATTCATGGGACGATGATGAAGGGTGGTCCATCGCTTCTGCCACCGTCAAAGGAAAAGAAGCTCCAAGTTCTGCTTCTGCCACCGCTCGGAACCCCTCAAATGCTGGTTCCGAGATGGAATTGACAGGTGTTTCAGATTTGGAAGGACAGCATGATGTAGCTTCTCATGAAACCGACGACATGGTCGATGTAGTTGATGATTGGGAGACTGCTTTCGCTTGATATGGTGCAATGCTAAGCCTTAAGCGAGGGAGATGGCTACCAAGTAATCTTTCTGGCCCCAAAGTTCTGCTGTATATTGGAGCAAAGGTTGGAGTATTTTTTTCTGTTTGTTAATTCTTTCCATCATCCGTTTACATTTGGATGATCATATGCTTTTTGTATCATTGTTGCTTACTTCTTCTGAAGAAAAAACATGTAAATCGAGAGTTCTTTGTTGTTTCCTCGAGCAAGTCATTGTGCAAATTAGAGCAGAGGGTCATTAATCCAAAATTCAAATGCTTTGATTCATCAATTCAATGTCCCGGTGTATAGCCATATCGTTCATTTTGAATGCTGAGAATTGTCGCAACACCATATTCAAATCCTTCAGCCATTGGAATTGCTTGTTCCATGGATATCCTTGTCGCCGGCCTGGAGTGATCATCCAGAGGTGGCAAGGCTGGTGATGGTTAACGACTATCGTCTTCCTCCATTGGGCTGCGATTTCTTTCTTTCTCCATTCGTGCGAGTTTTTCGGTGACCTGTTTCTGGTATACTTTTGTCATTGTTTCGTACCTGCTCCTTGAACGACCGTAACTAGTCGATTTTCCCTTCTTTTGCTCATATAGCTGGTCCTTTGTTTCGTTTGATCAATTCACCTCCATCTGCAAGGGAACTTACGAGCTGATCATGTTCTCGATTCTTTATCGGAGTAGATAAGGAATTCGAGTTTGTTATGTATGCAAACTCGCGGACCGTGTTATTGTCAGAGTTAAGCAACTTGCGAGGTCTAGCTTTCCGCGCGCTAGGAATTTCATCGTGATCCTGAGATCATGTTGTAATATTTTTGTACATTCACAGGTGCTGTGTTACGCTGAAAACTGGCACCACGGTTGTGACTTGTGAAGAATAAGACCATATAAATTGAGTTCGATGTACATTTAAAAATGAACGGTCAGCTAACGGCTAGACATAATCTTCTAGCTTTTCAAGTGTCGCTCACGTCATCGCCGGCACCCTCGTCACTGCCGATGGACTAAAACATTGCCGCCAAACCAACCCGGCGGCCAGGCCGCCATCCATGAAGGAGACCTCCATGGGAGCCGGGCCGAGCTTCACTCTGAAGGAGGCACTAAGAATGAAGGAGGCGGGACCGCATGAGTCCACCGGGGTGGAGCACAGTCCACCAAAATCGGCATAGGTTAGGTGCCATTGATGGGCCTAATCCATCATTGACATCGACCCCTCGGCCACCGCCACCATCACCAGCCCCACAATCTCTCTCTCTCTCTCTCCGTTTTCACGCACCGATCCGCTAAGGTCGAACACACGCACACACCGTGGCGGTTGGTGGCGGCGATGATCGAGCCATTTTGGTGGTGATTGTTGATGGTGATTGCAGAGAATGAACAGTGTGGCACGACTCTGGCAACTGGTGGGTCTTTGCTGACGGTGACTATGAAGCGACGGAGGAGGAAGGATGGAAAGAAGAATTTCTGAGATGGGAAAATGGTTATGAGATAGCAGTTCCATGTCGCTCATCTTGTTCGGTCAACGTTGAAATGGCACTACACGCCAGCTAAAAACTAGGGGTGAGCAACTTGGACCGCCCAAACCGGGACCGGACCGGATCGGCCTGGACTGACGAGTTTGGTCCAGTTCTCGGGACTATCGGTCCTGCTCCTGTTCCTAAAAGCGGAACCGGTTTCAAGGCGGTCCGTTGGGTTCTGGGAACCGGCCTGGGAACCGGACCGGACCGACTATTTAATATATATTTTTGTTATTTTTTTCTTTAAAAAAATTAATAAAATGTGAACTAAACTCTAAGTGAACTTCATTATCATAAATTCATTGATAAAAAATAGTAAAATGTGAATTAAACCCTAAGTGAACTTCATTGACATAAATTTATTGACAAAAATTAGTAAAATGTGAACCAAACCTTAAGTGTTTGACAAAAAAAAAACCCTAAACTCTAAGTAACCGGTTCCATTGGACCGGACCGGAACCGGACCGGGAACCGCTCACCCCTACTAAAAACCCAAGGCAAGGTGCGGAACAGCCACATGCTTCTCCACATTGACACGATTTTGAAAACTTCAGGGAGCTTGATCATAAATATATTTTAAGGTGAGCGGCATAAATCATCCATGAACTTTGACCTATTGTACAATGTAGTTCCTGAATTTTTAATTTGTTTAATGTGACCTCTGAACTTTACCCAAATGTTCGTTATGGTCCTTGGACTTTTGGTGCATGTTCAATTTAGTCTCTAAATTATATGAAAATATTCAATGTTGTAGTCCCTAAATAATATGAAATTTTTTCGATGTTGTACTTTCATTAATTCAAGTTCAAGGACAACATTGAACATTTTCATAAAGTGTTGAGATTAAATTTAATCAGAGACCACATTAAACAGATTAAAAGTTCAGGGACTACATTACACATTGAGATAAAGTTTATGGACTATATTAAACAAATGATAGTTCAAGGACCACATTGCAGTTATTTTCCATATTTTTTTGTAAGGATCACATTAAGCATAAGAAAAAGTTTGAGCAACTCACGTGTCATTCTCTTTGTTCTTTTCCCTGGCCTACAAAATGTTAGTAATAACGTCTTGTACCTTTGCATGCGGCAACTGAAGAAAGGATTCACGTCACCAGGGCATGGATAACTATCTATGTGAACTAAGACCTGTTTGATAATCCGATTAAATGTTGAAAGATTAAACGGTTAGCATTTGACGAGATTAAGCTTATCTGATAATTTTAAATAGAATTGACTTAAATTATTCAGTTAAGTCAAAAATACATTTAATATGGTAATTTAGGGAAGGGTTACTTAATTTATTCAATAAAAAAATCATCGGTAGTATTAGAATCTTTTTAATTGTATTAGTCAAACCTACCAGTAATGTTTGTTTCCTATATTTGATAAGGAATTAATATTCCGCAATGCATTTTTTATTATCACCAAAAAAATTATAATAATATTTTCGACATTTAAAATTCAATATTTAAATTTTCAGTATTTAATTTTCGTTTTACCAAATAGGTCCTAAAAGTCTTACTAATAACAATTAGGAAAATTATCAAAACAATTCTAAACCTATTGCAATTATGCAAATTCAGTCTTAAACCTTTTTTATGCTAATTTAATTCTAAACCTTTTGCATTTATACCAATTCAATTCATCCGACCAATTTTGGCTAGCCATCTGACCAATGCTGATGTGGTAATTTTTTCAATTTTTTATATTTTTTGTCTTTTTTTTTCCTTTTTTTTTTCCTCCCTTCATCTTCAACCTCTAACCGGCTGCCCAGAGGTGGGGGCCAGCGAGGTTGACCTCGCTCGCCCCTAGCGAGGCTCGATCTCACTGTTGCTAGCCCAGGCCAACCTTGCCAGTTATCGTCGAGTTTGAGCCTCACCTGCACTAGCGAGGCTAACCTCGCCAATTGCAGGCGAGTTTGAGCCTTGCCCAAGCATGGCGAGGCTCGCGCGAGTTCGAGCCTTGCTGTCGTTGGCAAAGCTTGAACTCACTGGCCATTGGCGAGCTCTCGCCAGTGCCAGCGAGGCTCGAACTCAACAGCGAGGCACTCGCCAGTGTCGAACGGCGTCCACGTCAGCATGGGCCAATCAAAATTAGTCGGATGGAATAAATTGGCACAAATGCAAAAGGTTTAAAACTAAATTGGTATAATTGCAATAGGTTTATGACTAAATTGGTAATTTTCCCAATAACAATCAATCAAAGCTAGAAATCCCTTAATAATTGGGTTAATGACATAGATGGTCTCTAAACTTTGTTCATGAATTTTTAATTTGTTTAATATGATTCATGGACTTTTTGTACGTGTTTAATTTAGTATATGAAAATGTTAAATACTGTCATTCCGTTAATTTAAGTTTAAGGATAACATTGAACATTTTCATAAAGCGTAGGAATTAAATTGAACATTTGCCAAAAGTCTAGAGACCATATTGAACAAACTATAAGTTTAGAGACTACATTGCACATTGAGATGAAGTTCGAGGAATATATTGAACAAATTGAAAGTTCATGAACCACATTATACATTAAGCTAAAATTTAAAAATCATTTGTGTCATTTTACCTTAATAATTTATTATTTCTTAAGCACGGCCTCTCTATCCACCTTCTTCAACCATTGAGTATAGAGCATCACAAACTTATTTCCTCTTTTTTCAACAATAAAATGGCTTCCAATCCCCACTCAATGATTGATTTCGGTGTATGAGAATATCGCACTCTGGAAATATCTAAAGTCTCTGGGATCTCGGGATCTTGTACAAGAGAGCAAATAAGTCGAACTCGAGAGGGAAAAACAGTTCACCCAGAAGAAAAGAAAAAAGATTAGGAGAGTCACAATTATCATGGCTGTGGTCGAACTGTAACTTTCTCGGTTAGTGTTCATGGCCAAATAATGACGCAAGTCCCACCAAAAATCTCACAATCACTTCTTTTTACCATTTTTGAGCAACTGCTCACATGACCAGATTTGAACAGTGTTGTGGACTCAAGTACAATCGTTTCGTTTTCAACTTGGTGCAAACGAACTACAAGTATCCCCCATTATTGAACAGTGGCCATTTTGGAAGCTTTCTTTCGATGGTGGGTGTGTGTGAGAGAGAGAGGGGGCGAGAGAGTAGTGGGAGAGGAAAGGTACAAGACTAAAGTTAAATTTGAGAGTACGGAGCTAAATATAGAGTCTTGTACTGTCAAAAGATTGAGTTGCTCGAGAACACACAGCAGCCCCTCTCATTGAAGTGTTCCTTTCAAGAACGCATGTAAAAAGACACAAAAAGATCTGGGTTGTGAGTGGAGGCCAAATCCCATCCTTTCATCATCAGTAGGGTTTTCCGATTTGGTGCATTTAAAGAGATGCAAAATGGCCTGCATGGGTCAATCCCATATGACAACATCCCATATTTATATTTTGTTCCCATGCAAATGACAACTAGGATAAAATACAGGCGCTGGTCATGGTACATACGGGTCATCATGTTTAGAGGGTCTCAAGAAATGGAGGAGGGTCAGAGAGATGATTGTTGTGAGATCACAGAAAGGAGTTTGAAAGGAGGAGGAGGAGGAGGAGGGGGAGGAGATGATGATGGTGGTATTAAAGAAGAGGATGAAAAAATTGGAGGAGCAGAAGAAGATCAAAGTGAAAATGATGATGCTCTCAAGAGAAGCATATCGAACCACCCTCTGTATGGGAAGCTTGTTGAAGTTCACCTCAACTGCTTGAGAGTACTCTTTCTCGCTCTCTCTCTCTCTCTCTCACTCTCTCTCTCTCGCTCACACACAAACACACGCACGTTCCACCAACACACTCCTCTCAAGAGATTTTCATGGAATATAAGCCTATGAATACGAATAGATCTACCATTTACACGTAATTATGTCATTTTCTTTTCCTGATCTAGATGTAGATGATTTACAGTGTTTCTTCATTTGAAGGTTGGTGGAGCTTGTAAAGATGACATGACACACCAGACGATGATGAATCCACAAGCATACTGTCGCCAACATCAACATGGTGAAGCCAAGATCAGTACGCCGAGTCAATCTGACTTAGACCGTTTTATGGTAAGTTGCTCATTGATGATAGATACAAGCCCTACTATTTGGCGGCATCTTCCAAATACGATGGTGTTTTAGTATGCATCTTATTCTTTGTAGAGCAAACAAGTGAACCTGTCTCGGATTTAGGTTGTCTAAATGATCATCACACTAGCGAAGCATTCAAAGGACAAAATGAAAACTTGTGTGCAAATCTATTATAAGGAAATATCACAAGTTTCAACAGCTTTAAGCAGAAATCCAAAAAGAAGCTACTGTCTCCCAACTTCAAATTCTAGTTTGTAATTGTGCCTATCGAGTGGAAATTTACATGAAGATACTAGATTTATATACTAATGTATGCTTCGTAAGAACATAGTTATATGTGTCAATACTGTTTGTAAATTTTGGAATATAAAATTGTAGAGCAATAAAATTCCAGAGTCACAATTTCTATACAAGTCCTTAGTTGCAATCTCAAGAGAAATGCACAAAACTGTATGCAATGAACTCCCCTCTTTTCATGAGTAATATTATTAGGGAAATAAATAATAGGTTGATAAAACTGAAATGGGTGTGTAGGTAAAGAACATTACTGTCTTAGCAGTAAATAGGAATTTTGAAACATTACTTTATACTATTAACCTTTGCATGCCCAATATACATTAATATCAGTGAAGTGGGCCTCTCTTTTCGCTCCATTCATCTTAAGTAGTGTCACTGTCAAGTACGGGAACTTTAACAGCGCACATTGTGCAGAGAGAGAGAGAGAAAGAGAGCGAGGGCACTGAAATATGAGTCAAATCAAATCCACAGTGGTGGGATTTGACCACTTTGCTTTTCTTTTTATCTGGAGTGACTGAGCTCTGAGGGCTTGATGAAAGCGGCATCTGTTACACACTTGAAAGTGACAATACTTGGGGTTTGCCCAAACAGAGGACGGACATGAGCACTGGATATTTGCAATTGCATGGTAGTTTGGTTCTCCATTATGGAATTCGAGTTCAGAGTCTTCACATGCAATGATTGATGTGTTAAAAACAATTCCCTTACCACCGGCCAGTTGTTTGTCCGTGTTTGGTATCATTGTTTAAGCACCACAAATGTAAACAATTTTCTGAAAAATCGATCCGGACAGGTTAAACGATGGTACTGTTTATTAGCTTCTGAAGCAATCCGTTCCTGTCCCATCATTGAGGTCACATTTCCCTCAATCAATTTTCTCCGGTTTCGAAAGCAAAAGTCAGATCATTGGAAAGATTTTTTTTTCTAATTTCTCTCTCCGTCAAGATCGTGACATTAAGTAAGTTTTTTGATGTTATGCCCTTTCTTCTCGCTTTCCCCCCCTCCCTTCACGTATCAAGTGAAATCTACGCCTTTAGATCTCTTGACCCTACACGATCTGCTTTCATATGTCCAAGACGCTATGATTGCCACAAATCTTTAGACAATTTGTTGTCGATTTTCAAAATGCTTTTGAAGCATTGCATTTTTTGTTTGGGCAAACAATTATTGTAAACTTTCTTGTTTTCTTTCTAAACGATATGTAATCATTGATTCGGTTAGTCTACAGAAGTACCTAAAAAACTCTCTGTGGCTTGTTGCTATGTCCATATAAAACAGGAAAACAAACAATAATTGAAGATCGAACTACCGGCAAAGACTAACCCTAACTCAAAATTGTACGTATGCTTCGAGAATCTTGATTTTGTGATCCAACATTGTCATTTATATAGCCACTTAGTAAAGAAGAAGAGAGACAAACCCTTTGAGGCACGCTAACTCATCGCGCATGCTAAGAACCGGGAGCTCCGAACAGATCGAACTTAGCTTCGTGTAGGATTAGTATATTCATATCAGAAGTAACCACCCAAAAGAGAAGAATGAAGAAGCACTATGATGCAAATCAAGGTGACGAGATCAAATGACGCGCGCAGGAAGCTTACTGCTCGGTTCTGAGCAAGTTGAGAGAAGCAATGGAAGAGCCTCAACAGGAGACCATGGCTTTCATCGACGACATGCATTCTCAGCTCGAGGACATGATCACAACACCACCTCCTCCTCTTCCTTCCACCTCTTCTGTATCTGGTGAGTCTCTCTCTCTCTCTCTATTCTCATCTGTCATCTGCAGCAAGAAAACTGCCCATTGATGTGATTTCGCTTCCCTTACCATTTTGAGCTGTTCGCTATATGCTAGATCACTAGTTATTCATCCTTTTCGTAACAAATAAGCTTTAGTATTTTTATATGAAAATTCCAAATCTTCAGTAGTTAGGAATTTCTCCACCTTAGTGGTAGCTTTTCATACATAAAACTAAGTATCAATATTTACACAAAGGTTAATTTCCCAAAGCTAGTAACTTTCCGTAGGTAATAGTTATTTTTTAGTGATATTGTTAACGAGTACCCTCGAGTTGAGGCTCACCGAAAGATATTGTCCCAATACCCAATTTCCATGTGTTGTCCTCGTTTGGTCTATTTCCGGCATCATATTTATAGTTAGCATATTCATGCTAGTTAGAAGCTCTAACTCCATATTCGTGTCTCACATGATACTCAATCAAAAACCCTAACTTTTCCCACCTTTCTCTCTCCTATTTCCCCACCCTCCCCCCTTGACCCCGCATCTCGAGTTGAATGCTGGAGTGGCTGTCAAATCACGCCTTTGGGGTACTATATGCGGAGAGAAAATTGTCTAAAAAGTCATAAACTTTTCAATTGTATCAATTTAATCCTAAATCTCTTGAATACTTGCTAATATAGTCATTCTGGCCAATTTTTGTTGGAAATCGTTGATGTAAATGCTGAACGTTTTACGTGGCATTTTCAATTTTTAATTTTTTTTATTAAATTTTAATGATTTTTTTATATTTCTTTTCATTTCTTTCTTCTTTTTTTCCGGCGGCTGGTCATTGACCGAGGCTCAATAACGCCCGTCAGCCACTAAAGAAAAAGAAAGAAAAGAAAAGAAAAAAATTAATAAAAAATTCAGAAAATTTTAAAATAATTGCAAAATTGTCTACGCCAGCTTCGACTATGCCATGTAGGACAACTTGCGCTCCATCCATGCCATGTTAGATAATAAATGTAAGGCCAAAATTGGTCGAAAGGACTACGATGAAAAATCGTCAAAATGTTTAGGTTTAAATTAATACAGTTAAAAGATTAAGGACTAAATTGATCACCATACAATAGGTTGAAGACTTTTTTGATAATCACCCGTATGCAGGAACTGTACCTTGCATTGCCTTGGGGCACTTCTTAAACGCGTTTAATGAGAAAACATTTAATTTTAAAATATTAATTATGCATGTCACGAAAATAGGAAGTATAATGAGAATGGCAAGATGTCCTTGTTTGTTTGACTAACAAGTATTTCGGGAGCATCTTTAACAAAATTCTATTTAATTGAGTAGTGACTTCTTCACGATAGAAAGTAACTTTTGACATATTAATACTTGGCAGCTTCTTTAAGTGGATAATAACTTTGAAGATATTAGAAATTAGAAATGTATCAATGGGATTAGCCAACGTGCACACACATAGAAAGTAAGATATTATTTGGGGTTGACTACTTATCTCGTGACTAGTAAATCGTCATATGAAAAAGTTACCAAAAACACATCTCTAGTTAGTAATCGTGAAAAGATAATTCGTTGAACATCCCGGAGTTTCTACCTTGTTGGAATTCCCCCCAAAGTAACAATTCGTTCCACGTGAAAATGCACTCATTTCACGTAAAAATCGGTCATATAACTGTAAGGCAGTAACATTTCTGATTGCTGATATGTTTAATCTGAATCGTGGCTTCTAGGAGAATCAAATACCTGACCCAAAGACCAAGAGGCCTTTGATCGAGATGATAGGCAAAAGGTCGTTTTGAAGACCGGAGGATAACAAAATATCGGCTGCTCCGGCTACTTTGCTCTTCTTCCACGTCATTGACTACATGTGTGTTTCGAGAATTTATATTGTATGGGGCCGTAGTTTATGATCTACGGACGTGGTCTTCCCAAGTCTGTCCTCCCGCTCGCCCGAGCACTGTGTTTTGTGTTCTTACTGAATATGGTTATGTGTTATTCTAAAATCAATCTGAACGTGCAGAGTGCATGTACTGGCATTTGCGTCTACTAATGAAGGCTTGGAGCTAACTAAATGTACGATGCAATGACCATCATGAGGTCGTGTAATCAGTCAATCCTTCGTGCCCTTTTACCAGAATGAGGGATGCGCCGGATAAATGAGTCGTAATTTACAGCATCAGTTTTGATTGCAGCGTGAAGAGAAAATGGACGTCATCATCTACACATGCATTTTACAAATCCCCGCTGCAATTTATTTCGGGTGTACAAGGAAAGGCTTAGCTCGGTCTTACATTTTTAGTTGGAAACCATGCTCTCACTCTCCTTCACAAAACCATCTCCAGTCCAATCTTTGTCCGACTGCAAGCCTTTCCGAACTGCCTTTCTCTGTCGAATTGCTTCTTGCTGCCTTTGTACCAAGTCAGTATGAGTGGTAAAATACTGAAGAGAAGCCCTGAAAGACCAATGAGGTAAAAAGAAAAATTAAAGTGAGAATCCTGCCCTGCTTGATCATGTCTGGGAAATTTATCGCGAGGTTTTAAGAATTTGATTCTCCCAAACAATTTATACCCTCTGAAATCTTCTATTCTTGAGAAATTATGCATCTTCATAAAATCTTTCAGCTCAGCACATAGTTTCTTCACAACGCCATAGCCATGCATCATCACACCTGTGCATACCTGCAAAACAGGAACGAATCATTCTCCGCCCAGTTCACAGAAGACATACATCGCCAAGTAGCTTTCACATGGGAAGCTCTCTTCTTTTGCATAATAAAAGAAAAGGACATTCACAAGAAAAAGGTTGAAACACCAATTTGTATGGACAGTAACAGATGTCACATCAATCCAAAGGAGAAAATGTGGTAGCATTAGTCTCTGCCCCCAATCTTAAAGTTATTACCTCATTTTCGGCATAATCTAAGCCAGTGCATGAAAAATGAGGCCGTGAGGATCCCCAATGAAGCGGTATACATACTAGTTTACCCCACAACAAGCTTGGCTAGGAAGGATTCACAGGGTAGATTTAGTGGCTGTCAACTGAAGCAAACAATTCCACCCAGGCTTTTTATGGAAAAGGACATTGCAGAATAACATGCTGTTGGTTTACCCCAGCCTCAGGAGGAGGAAGGCAAGAACAAGGAAAAGGAATACCCAAAAGAATTTTGCCAACTCATTAAACCATAGGATACTAGAGGAAAAGACCATTATCTGAAGTGCTTGATAACATTCAGGGAATCTTATCAAATGAACTAACTGATAAATTCAGCTAGACACTGTGAAAAGGGGGTGAATATTTGCAAAATAAACACTCCAAGGATATGTAACAGTAGCTAATGCCCAGTTGTACCTGAACAGTATCTGCTCCAAGGAGAATGAACTCAGCAGCATCACCTCCTGTTTCAACACCTCCAATGGCTGAAAGTGTGTGGTCCTTATCATCAAATTCCGACTTCATCATCTTTGCAATACTCATGACTTTTGCAAGTGCGATAGGATGGACTGCCTTGGAAGAATAGCCCCCAGGAGTTGAATACCTAAAACATCAAACTTAGGATTACATTTTACAATACCCAAAAAAGAATAAAAATGTAGTCACTGCAAAAGAGTTAAAGTAGTTCTCAACCCTTCAACACAAGGCTCGGGCCGTAACGTGTCAAGATTGATTCCCATCACGCTCATGATCGTATTGATTGCAGAAACCCCCTCACATCCTGACTTTAGAGACACCCTTGCTGGCTGCAGAACAAACAGATGCATTATCAAGATCGATCAATATACATGTAGTCATCACTGGTTTCAAGCTTCAAGATCAAGGAGAAGTTAAAGCGTGACTAACTTTTACATAAGCAGATGATACACAACCCATTTTTATGCCCAAGGAGATGCACAAACTTGATATTGCAATCTACAGGCCAAAAATGCCCTCCTTCCATGCATCTAATTTTGGTTAATAATAGTGGTGGTGTAATCTAAATGTCACAAAAAGTGCACTAGAAGTCCTAACCTCCCAAGGAATACAATCAAGTCCTTAACCTTTTTAAAAAAATGCAGTCAAAATCTTTCAATCAGCACTATCAAGGATCCTACTTGCAATCGAGAATTGCCCATGCGACGGGCTTAAATTACAATTTTTAATATTATATTTAGGACTTAAACGTACTTATTAATAATGGTTTAGAACATGATTACATCAATATAAAAAATTTAAGACTCAATTGCACTTCTAAGTAAAGGTTTAGGACTTGATTGCACCAATTGAAAGGTTTGAGACTTCATTGCATTTCATACCCAATGTTTGGGGCTTCTCATGCAATATCTCTCCTAAATACCTAACCCAGTAATACTAAAGCAGTAGGATTACGAAGGCACGTGCTTAGTCGATCCATGATTTGTTTAGTTGGATTATATATCATAATCACGTGACAAAATGTAATCCCTAGCAGACTTCAAACCTTAGCCTAAATGTCTTCCGTGAGCAGTCTACCACTCACAAAAGAATTATCCTTTCATCATCTTGATTGACCATCCCACAGTCGCACAAAGGTATCAAATGTCCGGGATACTAATTCAGAGTGTAAGCACCAAGGAAATTGGAGAAACGCATAGTCCAGTTAGTGGCCATGAGAGGACATTCTTATATGACAATATAAACAGGCTCCCAATAGATCTAACACCTGAACCTTCTTCTCCTCTTTTAAAAATGACAAATCAGTTATATTCCATTAAACATTGCTGGACACTAATGCTCATTCTTCACTGAAGGCAGAATCTGCAACACTGAGAGCTAACCTGCGTTATGTCTGTAATATTAGGAGTCATCTTTGCCCAAACAGGAACAGTAGCTTTCGCATTTATCCATCCACAGACCTCCTCCAAAAGAGCACAATCTTGGCCAACTGCAGCACCCATTTTACGCTCTGGCATACCATGTGGACATGAGAAGTTGATTTCGATGGCATCCTAAAGAAACAGTACATATTGTTAGATGGAGAGATGATCGATTTGATTTAGCCATTTGAGGGAGAACAGACATAATTTACTAGTTTTACTTACAACTCCACTTTGCTCAACTCGATCAATGAGTTCTTCCCATGCAGCCTTGTTGTATTCTTCCATAATAGATGCAATAAGAATCCTGTCTGGATACTCTTCTTTCAACTGTTTAAATTCTTTCAGCATTGTCTCAAGAGGTCGGTCACTGATGAGTTCTATATTCTCCCAGCCTATAATTTGTCCCTTAGCCGATCCATTTGCTCCTGCACGTAGCCGAGCATATCGAGGGGTGACATTTATAACTTTATCAGCCTCCAGGGAAACCTAGCAGAATGATGTACAAATGATGGACAAAAAATTAGTAAAGAACACAATATCATCTGCACGATTTGTTCACGGTAATAGACATTCCAAAACCAAGCCAAAAGGAGGGAAAGTAAAGCTACAAGAAAATGTCCCTTCCATAAAAGTTCAAATGGTAGAGAGAAAAGGATACGAATGTGAAAATCCACGATGGCAGCTACATTCTGCTACTTTTAAGATAATTAACATACTCAATCCCAGTTCAGGTCCTTTCTTTTTCTTTCATTGAGTTCACTTGCTGATAAAAATGTCCACGAAACCTCAATGGTCCGTTTTTCTTGTCATGATCTTCAAGTTAACTGCCTTAAGTCTCTTATCTCCTTTCTCCATTATCAATACTAATTCAGTGAATATCTAAAGATACACCGACCAACCTCAACATAGCACGACTCATGCCTCGTCCACATGCAGGGTTCCGCCAATGACACTCCAAATGCATATGACGCATAACGAAAGTAGTTCGCACCTCGCGAACATCGCTTGGGAAAGCAAAGACTCGCTTATACACTATCGAGAATAAATTACAACATTATATACCGACCCACAAAAGCGAAACTAAATATTTACGCGCCACTCAATTCAATTTCACTTGATGCAAGAACAGGATCGACAGAGCAGGCAGAGCAGACGAACCGACTGAAATTCAGATTACGGAATAACCTCAACTCAAAATGCAAACGTTCAGATGCGATGTACGGGAACACATTAATTACCCGTCAGAAACGCTCAGCTTCACGAAAATTCTAACCTCAGGCAGATACTCCGACAACGACGGGGCCGATTTTCTAGGACGAAAAGGAACTCGCGATCTTGGCAAATCACCAAGTTCAAACCTCGCCAGCGAACTAAAATACACAAGTGTCGGCATCATCGGCGATGCGAGGAACTTACAGTTTTGGCGATCACGGCCCCCCAGCCCTCGTCGAAGGCCCTCTTCATCACGGTGTAGTTAGTCCCGGGGGGTCCGGACCCGATGACGAACGGATTCGGCATGATGAGCCCATTAACAGTCACGCTGAGGTCAGGCTCCGCCCGATCCCCCCCGGACGCGAGCGCCCGGAACCCGACCCTGCCCGGCGGCGCCGGAGCCCGGGGACCCCGGCGGCGGGGCGGCCGCCGCCGCCTCCGAGCTGCTTCAGGCTGAGGGAAGCCATCGGCGACGGTGCTGGGCGGTGAACAAGTCACAAGGGGAGGAGGAGATGGAGGAGCTGCTGCGGCGGGATCACGGGAGAATCGTTTGCGTCTGGTAGCTGCTGGTGGTTTCGAGCTGGAAGGATTTTTCTTGGATTCTTTAATGGAGGAAAGAGGTGGAGTGGTGAAGATGCAGGAGGAGGTTGGAATTGCATGTGGGATGTGGATAGCTATCTCTTTTCTTGATTTGATTCTTCTGCGGTTTGACCTTTTGCCTCGTCACCGTATCGGTTGCGTAATAATTGACCCCCTTTTTCATTTCCTTAAATTATTTCCAAAACAATATCTTTAATAACGAAAATGAATAATGACACAAACAGTCTCTCAGTATACTCCCTCAACTTTTAATTTATTTAATATGATCACTGAATTTTCAGTATGTATTCAATTTATTCCATGAACTATAAAACCAAATTGCACGTTAGACGAAAGTACAGAAATTATTTGTGTCATTTTTCATAACGAAAAATATTTTCATGATTTATTATTATCGGTATGGTAATATAAATATTTTTCATCGACTAATTATTTTCAAGTAATATAAATATAAATGATATATTTTTGAAGATGTTATTCAATTTTTCATTGCTGAGTGAGGACTTACTTTCGATGTCGAACTTTCGGAGTAGCATCTGAAACCAGCATTTTCCCTTTTTCGGTTTTCCTCCATAAAATAGATGCGGTAGCGGCTATTATAGAATAAGTAGGTTCAAAAACGCAAAAAAGAAAAAAGAAAAGGGAAGGGAAGGAGAAAAATCGTCGGAGTTGGAGAGTAATTATGCGTGGAAAACTTTGGATGATGTCATAAATCACAAATGATAATATGATCTGCTGAGATTCCACGTGGTTCGGTTTCATACTACCGACATTCAACAGTAGATCCAATCAATCATACGGTATGGTCTACAGTGCCGTGCCGTCTTGATTAACATCAAATACTTTTAATCCGATCATGAAGAGTGCTTTGTAATCCAACGATTGGCGTCGCGTCTCTCGGATTTGACGGTGGAACACGTCACCACGATACATGTGCGCGCGCAAGGTTTGCGGCACCCATTGAGTCGCCTGGTTGAAGTAACAAGTAAGTCGCTATTGTAAACATCGAGACAATCATGGTTGCAGGAGGGTGATCGGAATACCAAATTCTTCCATCTTTCTACAACTATCAAAAGGCGCAAAAATTATATCCTGGCAATTCAGGATGATGGAGGCCAATGGCTTATGAGTATAGATGAGATTAAAAACTTCATTTTATCCAAGTATACAGAGCTTTTCTCGGGACCATCACTAAATCCACACCCTCTCATTAGGAAACTCTTCCCTAAGGTAGTTTCTGATGAAGAAAACTTGGATCTTTTGGCAATTCCAACTGAGGATGAAATATATAGCGTCTTGAAAGAGATGGCCCCTCTTAAATCACCAGGCCCAGACGGATTCCATGCTATTTTCTACACGAAATGCTGGGAAGTGGTGAAGGCCCAGATTGTCCAATTTGTGCAGCACTTCTTTAACACAGGTCAATTGCCTCATCTTCTCAATCATAGTTATTATAGTTCTCATCCCAAAAACTCATAATCCACACACCTTTAACCAATTTCGGCCCATAAGTCTATGCAACGTGAGCTATCAACTTATCTCTAAGTTGTTGGCAAATAGACTGAAAGGGTACCTCAGTCGTATTATCTCACCTCAGCAATCGGCTTTGTTCCGGGTATAAGCATACAAGAGAATTCTGTAATTGCACAAGAAATCTTACACTCCATGAGGAAGAAAAGAAAGGGGAGTCCATTCATGGGAGTCAAGGTTGATATGTCAAAAGCTTATAATAGAGTTGATTGGAATATACTTGATACAATACTCTGTAGTTTGGGGTTTTCGTCTCACTTTTGCAGGCTCATAAAAATATGTGTATCATCGGTTCATTATTCTCTTCTCATCAACGATAGACTTGCGGGAAGTTTTAAACCTCAGAAAGGACTCCGACAAGGTGACCCTATCTTGCCATACATGTTTGTGATTTATTCTGAACTTCTTTCTAGAATTCTATCTAAAGCAGAGGATTTGAAGATTATTGCAAGTATAAGAGTAGGGCGAAAAAGTCCGCCTTTAACTCACCTTATGTATGCCGATGACTTGTTGTTATTTGTCGGAGCTACTAAACATCAAGTGAGAGCACTGAAGGAATGCCTTGAACTTTATTGCTCGTGGTCAGGTCAAAGCTTGAATCATCAGAAGTCATCTATCTTTTTTTCTAAAAATACTTCCACGGGCATGAAAAAGTTTTGTATGGATGAGCTCCATGCGAAAGACAGATCCTGAATCACTATACCTTGGAAATCCCCTCTTCAATATAGGAAAAAGCAGGACAAAATATCAATTCCTTGAACAAAAGGTTGATAACAAACTTAGCTCCTGGAAAAGAAAGACACTATCTTGGGCGGGTAGAGCAACATATATCCGATCGGTTGTTCAGAGCACACCGATTTATGCTATGCAATCTAGTTGTTTGCCTCGGAGCACTGGTGACAGACTTGATGCCTCTATAAGAAAATTCTGGTGGGGTGTGCCATCCGAGAAAAATAGATATTTTACACCTAAATGTTTGGATTCTCTGTGTAGAAACAAGAAGAGTGGAGGAATGGGTTTTCGGCAGAATAGGGACTTCAACAATGCTTTGCTTTTGAAGCTCAGTTGGGGAATGATCCAAGATAGAGGCAAGTTATGGGTTCGAGTCCTTGAAGGGAAATATTTGCAGACCTCAAATTTCTGGAATCACACGGTCAAGGCATCAACCTCTCCTTTGTGGAAGGCAATCATAGATACCAGAGAAGTACTCAAACTGGGAACTCTATATCAAATCGGGGATGGAAAGTCAATCGAGGTCGAAAATCACCCCTGGATTCCTAACGTCTCAACTCATCTGCCTTCTTTTATTGATCCAGACCCTGTTTTGAAGCACAGAAAGATAGAAAGCTTCTTTATCCCAGGGACAAAAACTTAGGATGTATTAAGTCTAAATCAAACATTTTGCCCAACCTCAGTCCAAGCCATCCTTCAGATCCATGTGCCAAACTCCATTGGGGTAGACAAACTGATTTGGCATCCAGCTATCGATGGAATATTTTCTGTTAAATCTGCTTACAAACTCATAAAGTCGCCAAATGAAAATGGTAACAACCGCGGTATTTGGAACAAAATCTGGAAAGCTAGAGCTCGTGAGCGACACAAAATGATGCTGTGGAGGATAACGACTAACATTTTACCTTGTCGAGCCAACTTGCTTCAATTGATCCACATCCCAGACCCCTCTTGCCCGTTGTGTGGAGCTTCAGACGAAAATTCAGTACATTTGTTCACAAAATGTCCTCTAGCCCAAATTATGTGGAGACAGAGCCCATGGGGTATTATCTCGTCTGCTTGGAACTTCAGGTCTCCGGAAGAGATGGTGAATCACTTTCTTGATCCAGGAAAAATAGTACAGAGAACGGGAGTGGATTGCAAGCTCTTCACCCTCTATGCAGCAATTCTTTGCACTAGAATGTGGCGTTACAGGAATGCAAATATACATGATCAGACTACTCTAGTTCCTTCCCAGGCCATTCAGATGGTCATACAAGATTTCTTGGAATATTCAAATATGTTCAGGAGGGAGGACAAAGTGAAGTTAAGCGAGGAACCGGATTTTATTGGGGTAAGGTCAAACTCTTGGATACCTTCATCAAATCAAGAGTTGAAATTTAATGTAGATAGTGCGTGGAAAGATAACAGAGGTGCCATAGGTATTATTGCACGATCGTATAGAGGCACAGTTGTCCAAGCGTGGACAAGATGAGGAAGATGGAACTCGCCAGTGGAAGTGGAAGCTGCAGCTCTTCTTCTCGCATGCAAAGCTGCTCAATCTTTCGGCATCCACAAAGCGATTTTTGAAAGTGATTGTAAGATGTTAATTGATGCTATTCAACAAAAGGGCATTTGTCCTTGGTGTATTCATGCTTTCGTCTTGGACTCTTGCTTATTTCTCAGCAACAGCCCAGAATGGAGCTTCAAGTGGATCAACAGATCTAGTAATGTTGCTGCTCATGAGCTTGCAAAATGGGCTTCTTTTCATTTAGGAAATGCATCATCTTTCTTTTTTAATGATCTCCCATCTAGAGTCAAAAGCTTAGTGCTCGCGGAGTCTTCTTTTATTTATCATGTTGATGTAGGCTCCAACTCTTCTGTGTAATATTTGTACTTCTCTGATGCAATGGAAAGTTCGATTTAGCAAAAAAAAAAAGTAAGTCGCTATTGTTGACTTAGTTTTCTCTAGTTGAACGTGAATTGACTTTTAAATCATCAAGGAATTTGTGAAATTACAGCTTTGTTGCCAAAATGGTGTCGTGCATTTCATGATTAAGAGAGTTAATTTGAGTATTCACTTACTATGATGCGTTAAGGAGACTTTAAAGAGATCGGAAATATTAGTATAGTTACATATGTAGACGTTTAATTTTGAAAATCAATGCAACGAAACAAACATTCGTATGGATAAATTACACATGACAGATGGATGGGACCGGCCTACTACAACCATATGAGTTTGAAAACCTTTCCCATTTCTATTTTACAAGGAATACTAAAGTGATAATCATTCAGATTCTCACATTTATATACCACTCAACAGTCCATTTTCTAATTTATATAGTACTTTGGTAAAAGAAAAGAATCGCATAGGATTTTGAGTATAATAAACTCCCCGAACTTATGTCCATGTCAGTAACACCCGTCCATATAAGGCCTAGAAACATATTGGATTGGTAGCATATATTTGGTTGGTGTGCGTTTTGTAATGGTCGGGTGCCCTTGCCCCCACGATTGACCAATGCCTCCGCCATTGTTGTTTCGATCGTCCCATACCTCTGCCATTGTTGTTGCTTACTCCCACCATCTCTAACGAGAGCAAAATCCAAGGTAGTGCTCTTTCGAAGACTTAAATTATGAACTTGTGTCATTGTTGTCACGTTCTTGCTGGGAGCGTGCAGCACGAATTCGATACCTTTATTTGGAGATATCGCCAAGAGAAAGTATAAATCCAAACGTGTCAACATATCAGGTGCATCTTAACCTCCTCAATTCAAGTATCCTATATATCTTAACTTGAATCTCCATTGCTCGCGTTGGTCACGAGATTTCTTTCTCGAGATATTCACCATATATCAATACACATTGGAAGTGGGCCCACCTTAATCATCGCGTTGGTCGAGAGATTTTTTCTTGAGGAGTGGCAACCAATCAATCTGATACCATCAATTGGGAGCAGACAGCAAAAGCCGATACCTTTACCTGGGAAGATCACTAAGAGTAAGTCCGAGCTAGGCAATGAGTTACGAGTTAAATATGATTTATTAACTATTTTGCATCACCCTAGTTGGTGGAGAGAGAGAGAGAGAGAGGAGCAAAGTCAAGGAAGAATTGATTTGATATTTGCGTTTCCTCTTGCGCGCAACTGACCGATAAATGAGGACACATCTCAATGATCTCATGTTATGAGGGTAGATCATAGAGGCAAGCTTCGACAGTAAGAGCTTGATCATCATGTCGTGGAAGGAACTTAATTACTTTTCAGTATCATTGATCACGGTTTACCGGACAGCGTGCAATGCAAATTTTCTTCTCCCATTTGACCCTTGATTGCCAAAGATGACTCGTTCATTTTCACTTTCCCATGCCAATATAACGAGTTTAGTAACGTATGGTTCTGGTTCACGTTAATGCACCAAAGCACTTTCGATTTGATCGAGAGGAGACGTCCAAGGCTGACTCAACACTCCCATGATCCTATGCCTATCTACCTTTAATTATTGCGTAATTTCTAAGTGGGACCCTTTTTTTTTTGTCTATTGTAGGGGTGAACGGTTCCCGGTCCGGTCTGGTTCAATCTAAGAATCAGGAACCGGACCGAGAGAACCGGTTCCCAGTTTCTAGGACTGGAGACCGGACCGGCTAATCTTGGGACCGTGGACCGGTTCCAATGGAACCAATCACTTATTGGTAAAGGCAAGAGGGAATTAGGAAAATTAGATTAGGCTTTCTATTTTTTTTCAAAAATTTTAAAAAGTAAATAAATATATATATGAAAAAATTAGAAAAATATATATTTATCGGTTCAGTTCCCACCTTAGAACCGGAAACTGGACCGCTCGAAAACGGGTTCCACTTTTAAGTACTGGGAACCGGACTGATATTCTCGACAACCGGACCGAATCGGTCGATCCAGTCCGGTTCAATCCGATCCCAGTTTGGGCGGTCTATCTTACTCACCCCTAGTCCACTGTGCTTATATGGACGTCGAAGCTGAGAAAGAGTTATAATATATAGAGTATTTCCATGGCTCGAATAAAGACACGAGGAATGTTAGGCACGATGACAATTATTATAACACTCTTTATTATTTCAATCACATTCGGTGCATTGGAATAATTTAATTAACATGTTACAATTATTAATTTCACGTTATACGAGTTAGCTCCATCATCATGAACTCCATTTCGCTAATTACGCACTCTTTCACAAAAGATTTGAAATATCCTTTAAGAATAAGGATGAATTAACAAGTAAATCGACAATAGTTGCGAAGGGCTCTTTATTGATTTTGGACATGAAAAAAATTAACAAGAAAATTAAAGGTACGGAGACCAGAGACAATTGCGGATAGCCATGTAAATCGTAGAAAAATAAAGATAAAGATAAATTTACATAAAAACGTTGAGTTATGTGATTGATTAAAGGGGTTTACAATGAATACACTGGGATTTTTATTATCTCTAGAGACTACATACAATGTTTAGATACAACGGTTAATAACTTCTTTAATCCTATCCGCAGTTACAAAAAGTTACTCCGCAATTTTTTATTATTAAGCAACGCTTGTCTATTAAAAGTTATAAATTAACACATAGATGATAGATTAATGGCTCTTTCAATGGCCGAGATCGATGATAGATCTTGTGAAATAGCATATATGTCTTAAATCTATTTATTCATTTATTCAACAACTTCGATTGATTGATACTAGTTGATTTTATGTTATGATAAATTCACGAAACAATATCTAACCCAATAGCTACTTCAGAGGCTGCAATAGCTATAACAAAAAATGGAGAAAAATATCTCATTTCAATTGTCGACTATCAAAAAAATCTGAAAAATGTTACGAGATTTATATTCACTGCGTTGAGGATAAGTTCAAGACACATAAGGACCCTAATCATATTTCGACTCGTGATCAATCCATAGATACCAATAGAAAATAAATAGGCACTCTAACATGTATAGATACTATATACAAAAGTAAGTGAAGTATTTTCACTAACACAATTACTCATTAACAGATATGAGTTTTGAGATATGAAAATGTAGAGGGATGATTTTTTTTGCCCCAATCCTTCCTCCACGTTTATCACCACCATTCACGAGAAAGCGTGCAATGCAATTTCTTTCTCCTCATTTGACGTTTCATTGCCAAAGACCGTTCTAGTTCCACTTTCACGTGTGATAAACAAGTCTAGTAGTGACGTTCCGTTCACGTTCATGCACCAAACCACTTCAATTTGATCGAGAAGAGACGTACGAGGCCGACGCACAATCCCACGATCCTAATCCACCTTTAAGCCCCCGTCCGCTTCTGTCAACGGCGGGAAAAGAACAACGGATTTATATTGAATTTCACCGTAATCTTAGTTGTTTTGGCTGTCCTATTAATATATATATATATATATATATAGAAGGAAAAGGACAAAGGATTTATATGCTCGACATACACGCGTTGTTTCAACATTTTCGTGGGCCTAAGGACGGTTGCTTGCCCACGAAAGTGAACTTCCTTCTCTTGTATAATTTTCCACTAAAGGGCCAAGATTAGGATACAAAAGGAAGGATTAGAACATCGTTTTCGAATAACTTTTTCGTCTTTGTTCGGTTCTTGGCCAAATTATCCTTTTTGTCTCGTCTTGGTTTGTCAAACTTACCAACGAGAAAATTCGATTGATGGGTCATATTTGAGCGCCCAACCAAAGTTCACTACATTATTTTATAAATTAAATTGGATATTTGTCGTACAACTGTTGGCCGACTTAAAGAGAAATATATGGGCCAGTCACTTGCAAAGTTAGACATTGCTAGACGGCTTTCGGTGGCGGTCCCTAACCAGACAAATTGAACTTGAATCGACCGATTCTCAAACAGCTTTCGGTCCTTGGAAGGTGAAATACTACTCTACTTACGTGTGCTCATGGGTTAAGGTGATCCGTGCTTTCATGCTTCATAGATTTGAAAATTTGTCAAACTGCCAAAATGGATTTGTGCAATACTAAAATATGGTTTGATGGGTTAGTAGGATTTTTACTTTGTTCGAAGACTTGAGGATAGGATTCAGAAGAGAAATATGTATTAAAGTCGGAGGGGGCCGCAATTGGCGCCATTAAGAATGGTGCGGGGTCTCTCGTCACTCATAAAAAAAGAAGAAGTTCGAGGCGTTACCCAAAAAAAAAAAATTAGAATAAAAGACTAGGACCTACCTACAAATCCACGAAAGCTGAAATATTTCAAAATTAACCCCCTAAAGTTTATTGCGGTTGATTGGGAAACGAAGGATTTTCGGTTAAAAAATTAAAGGTTACTCGTTCGAATTTCACTACATGCGTCAAACTTGCTTTGTGTCAGTGTCATCAGCGTAGACCAAAAGTCTGGACTTAACCGATTAGTACGATTGATTGTGAATTGAGAGATTTCCTAGTAAAAAATTAGAAGTTCCTCATTTGAATTTCACTACCTGCGTCAAACTTGCTTTAGGTAAGGGCCATCAGCGTAGACCAAAAGTATGGACATAATCGATTCATGAGACTTGTTAGGTGTTTCGTAGGCTTTCACTTAACCGGGTCTCCGCACCTGTGCTCTTGTGTATAAAACTTGAGGAAAAAATAATCGACGTTTCCCTTTTGCATTTCCCCTTTAGTTTCCCCGTCGGAACTTTTTCCAAAATAAGATTATGTTTGGTATGAAACTTGTGCGCAAATCAAAATGCGAATAACTTTACTATTTCGGGTCCAACAGTAACTTTTCGTTTTCATGTTACGTATTTATTTATTTGTAATGAATTGATTATTGTCCTGTTTCTTCAATTATTCGTTCTTAAATCTTACTGTAGTCATACCACGTCATGAACACCATAATTAAACTAGCTAAGAAGAAAAGGATTGCAAAAGATGCTCTTCCATTGTCATGAACATTCATCGATCAAATTTAGGACAAAGGAATGTAAATCCTAAAATTCGCCCATTATGCACAAAATCAAAATCTCTAAAGGGGAAAAAAAAAAAGAGGAGGTCCGAATGATGTCGGACTCTTCACTCGGGTCGACCCGCCCTTCATGCCCCGGATATCGGATCCTTGCACACAAACGGGTGGGTCAGAAGTTGTGCCACCGTCCACCTCTTGCCGGACTCCTTCTGCAGGCAGCACTCGACGAAGCTCCGGAACTCGCCGCTCGCCCGCTCCGGCAGGCTCGGCACCTCGCCGAAGCAGATCGCGCACACGAGGCTGGCCCAGTCGGGCCGCTGCCCCGGGTCCAGGAACGGGAAGTAGCCCAAGTACAGCTCCAGCAGGGTCAGCCCCAGCCCCCACACGTCTCCGGCATAACCGTTATAACTGCCGCCGTTGGAGTCCGGGTCGAACCGCTCCGGGCTCATGTAAGCGCACGTGCCGACGTACGAGTCGCACGCTTCGAGCGTCCTGCACATGATCTTGCTCACTCCGAAGTCAGCGATCTTGACCTCCATCTTCGAATTCACGAGCAGATTCGACGGCTTGATGTCTCGGTGTATGATCTTGCGCGAGTGGAGGTGGTCGAGACCGTTCAGGACCTGGCGAGCCACGTCGGCCAGGTCCGGCTCGCCGAACGGGCCGTAGCTACGGAGCACCGACTCCAGGGTCCCCAGGTCCATGTACTCGAGGACGATGGCGACGTCCCCGCACGCCTCCTCGAAGGAGCCGTGGCAGCCGACGACGTGGGGGCACCCGGCTGCGCGGCGCAGGACCTCGGCCTCGCGCCGGGCGCCGCGGCGGGTGGAGGCGTCGGAGCCGGAGCGGACGACCTTGAGGGCGTAGACGGCGGAGGTGCGCCTGTGCCGGACCTTGTAGACGGTGCCCCCGTTGCCGTGGCCGAGGACGTGGAGGGTCTCGAGGTCGGAGGCGGAGATGGCAGCGGGGGGAGCGGCGGCGGGGGCGGGGAAGGGCGGGAGGAGGAGGAGGTCGGAGGGCTCCGGCAAGGGGAGGCGGAGGTTGAGCTGCCGGCGGTGGCGGACGAGGGCCATGCGAACGCAGCAAACAGAGAGAGAGGGAAGAGAATGAATAGAGAGAGTGCTTGGACTTGAGAGAAAGTGGGGGGTGTATATAAGTGAGTGAGAGAGAGAGAGAGGGAGTGACGGCGGAGGAGGATTGGAAGAAGAAGACGACGGCGGCGGAGGAGAAGGGAGGAGGAAGGTGGCGAGAGGAGGGGGAGGGGGGACGGGGTCCACAAGTTTTAATGGAGGCGAAGTCTTTCCACTGGCAACTGGCCAAACTACAGTGCAAGTGACTCGTGCGAGTGGAGCGTCAAATTTCCAATTTCTTAATGGATCGTATCGTCAAATTAGGCTGTCATAAGACTCATAACGACTTTAACACAAATGACATTAGATTGCTTACTTTTCTACAAGACGGGCTTTCATAGTGAGGTAACCTTTTTCTACCGGTTCGAAGATTTTCCTTGATTTAGTAAAAGTCCTCCGGTGTCTTGCGCGAATAACAGTTAATAACAACCCCGTTCTCGTTAAACGATGGTTAAGATTCATTGGGTCGGTAAGAAGAGTACCATGCGAGGGATAGAGAATCCCCATCCACAAAGGGCGATTTGGTAGAAGGTAATAATGGATTGATGAATCGGGGCAAACAAAGATAAAAGAATCTTAAACATAAATGGATAAAAGGGTTCTTCACGGTGTGTTTGTTTCATGGAAAATGTAATGTTTTTGGAAAATATTTTCTGGAAAATCATTTTTCACGAAAATAGTTAGTTTTCCTTTATTTGGTGATATGTGATCGAAACATTTTCTGGTGTTTGGATCTCATTTGGAAAATAATATCGATCCCATGATTTTATCTCAGGAAAAAAAAATTCGAATTTTTAAATATTTTTATTTTTAAAAATAAAAGAGAAAAAGAAAAAATAAAATAAAAGAAAGAAAAGAATAAAATATTAAAAAAGTAAAGGGAAGCAATTCCGGAAAGTAGTTTCGCCTTCTAAGATTAGAGAATTCACTTTCCTAATTTTATACATGAATGTTTTCCTTGACCGAAAAGTGTTTTCGATTGACTAATCATTTTTTGCGAACCAAACAGGTGAAAGTCCGAAAAACGAATTTCCGAAAAACACTTTTCCTAAAACAAACGCACCCTCAATTTTAACTAGTTCATTCTCATTGAAACTTGTAAACTGGTAGTTGTGCTTACTTCTTAAACGGTCTCTAACAAATCATATCAATACAAGATTCATATGAATATAAATTAGATGGACAACTTATCGTCACAAGGGTGGTATATTACGTTTGTTTGAGGATGCACACAACCCTGGCAATTAGCCCTAGTCGGACCAAATCATCGGGCACTAGCCAATGGTGGTCCGAAGCTTTCGTCTTCTCTGTCAATGGAGGTGGACTGACAATGATACAGATAGATATGACTCTGATGCATCGGCTTAGCAATTACTTGTGAAGATGGGATTTGATCCACCGCGTTGGATCTGCCTCTTTCAAAAGCCGCCTCAGGCACAACTTGCCCAAATTGTGGATGTATGTATGCAATTAATGCATCAATAATAGTACTAGAAGAGGACTAAAGTTGGATCATCAAAAAGAGATCAATGCATTCATTGATGGGTGGAACCCACGTGTGTATTTCAAATGAATAAGGCTGCCTTTGGTCATCCAAACTCGGAGTGGGATAAGATAGGATTAGATGGGATTGAAAATCCTCATATTATCTTCCGGATTATAGAAATTCCTATAATATATTTGGTGTCATTTAAGATAAGATTGAAAAATATTGAAAAATCCTTTGTTGTATCCAGCTACTTCGACCTTCACCCACCACGTCCGACACTCCCTAGAGTGCCCCGAGTCTGACGTTCCATCCATTGCTCTCTCGATCAGCTTTCTCTTGGCAGCCGTTGTCTATGCAAACCTCGCGCAAGTGTTGTGCCCCCCTGTCTATGCTTCAGAGACGGAGAGGTAGAGCTCAAATGGGTCGATCCGTGTCGATATCGAAGATGGGTCATCGTGCCATCGGTTGGGTTCGATGAGGATGCAGAGGGCTTCGAAAGTACACTGAGCGAACGTGCTTTGGCCGGCGGGGATGCTTGCAGAGCGCTTGATGGCAGAACAAAAATTTTTGTGGTCGAAGAAAACGGTGAAACTCTAGCTGATTCGACTGTGGAAATTGGGAAAATCAGTTTGTCAACGAGCGAACCTGCTGAGGAGAAGGGGAGGATGTGGGGTAAAGTGAAGAGCCATCTGAGATAAAAAAATTTCGAGGAGAATCCCGAGGCAATGACGAAGCAGGATACTCTCGGTTGTCAAAACAGGATCGGCTCGCCGTTGATAGTGATCAGCAATGGTTGGAGGCGACAATGCCCGCGCGGTAGTCGGAAGTAACGATGATCGGCTATCGTGGCGGTGATCCTCACACGGTGGTCAACGAAGCAATATCCGGATAACTCACTCCATCACTCCATCTTTAGAATATAACAGAGTTTCTTTAGTTATTTTTAAAAAGAAATTATCCAATTCGATTTATCTCACCCCTGTCCCGGATATATACGGGTTGATCTAATTCAGAGGACGTTGCCAAACATTAAGATAATTTATTCTATTTGGACTACCAAACGCGGCCTCAAGATCAAAGAGGTTTGTAATTTCTTTTGTTCATTGGATACTTGAACAACTTTCTTTTTTAGCTCACATTGGCTCTTTTCGTTTAGGATATAAAAAGTCGTTGCCGTAAATTACCACGTCAATGCCATTTGGACTGTTCGGTATACATACCATGAGACGCTGAGAAATAAAGAGTAAAAAGAAGGAAAAAACACGAAAGAGAGCATGAAAACCGTACACGGTATGCCATGTCACTGAAATTGTAGGAATGGTTGTTGATTGTAACTGATTTAGAGTATTTAAGGTTTGATTGTACTTTTCGATCGTTTGGGTTTTGATTGCACCATTTGGTAAAACGTTCAAGACTTTTGGCGTAATTTTTTTTCACTTTTTCAAAAATAAACCGATGTGATATTCTTTTTTCCTCTTTTCTAAAGCGTACACGACCAAATTCACGAAACGGAAAGAAAGCGTAAGTAAGGCAAAGGCAGTGATGATACGTGAGCTCGTGAGTTACCCTTACTTTGGGAAAGCTGGAAAAGAGAACGGTTGATCTGTAAAAGGAAAGCTGCGTGGCCATGCCGTGCTCGATTTTCGCAAAGCTTAACGGCCAAGACATCAAGGCCCCGAAGTTTGAGCTTCGAAGGGAAGACCACCACCCTCAGCAATGGCTTACCAACTGAAGTTTGAGCTTCGAAGGGAAGACCACCACCCTCAGCAATGGGCTTACCAACTCTCTCTCTCTCTCTCTCTCTCTCTCTCTCTCTCTCTCTCTCTCTCCTTCCTTCCTTAGGGTACAAAGATGGATTCGAAGTCATTTTGGTGAAGCGCAGCTACTTAGTAACAAACGGATTGTACTCACAATCCTTTGTATATTCAATCTATACTTCTGTCTCCAGCATTGTTCTTCTGTCTCCTCTATCCCTTTTATTCATGCGTGTGTCTCATCCATAGTACATGAAGAACTGATTTTACGTGTGGATTTCTTCATCAAGCAAAAATCATCATGGATTGGTGACTCGAGTTAAAAATAGAATGGCAAATGAGAAGCGCGTACTTTGAGAGAAGAGCGAGAAGAGGGTTTTTGGTGTTAAAATGGTTATATCTAATCTATATTTATCTAAGTAAGCCAACGCCACCGTTGGTCTCACTTTTCACTTTTCAGAATTACCTTCTTGTTAAATATAATACTTATCCGTTGAGAAGCCACCAACTTTTTTTTCTATGTATATGTAATTACCATTTGATCTCATTTTTCACTAGTACCAAAATGGTGAGGGGCACTATCGTCATAATATAAATAAATCTTAAAAGTAATGACACGAGTATAGTGTGCGCTTTAAAACTAGTCAAGTAAATGAGAATATTACAACCACTGAGATTTATCCTAGTGGCCACTAGGGGTGTCAAAACCAAACACAATACCCGAACCGAAACACGAACCAACCCGACCCGAACACGAAATTTTCTTATTGGGTCGGATTGGGTCTCAACTTGTTTGGGTAACAATAAAAAGAATTGGGTATTGTTTGGATCTATTGGGCTTGGGTACCCAAGCCCAACCCAAATAATAAGCCAATCCAAATAATAACCAAAACCCTTAAGATCCCTCCTCCTCCCAGGACCCTGCCACCGACTTCTTCTTCCCCGGGTTCCGCCGCCGCCGGCAACATCACCCTCAGCGGCGTCGCCGAGATCGACGGCCACGGCGTCCTCAAACTCACCAACGAGACGACCTGTTTCTACCATAGCCAGGCGGCGGAGGATTTCATCCTTCTGCCGGAGACCACGCCGCCCGACCAGATCTTGTGGCCATCGCGCCGCCGCCTCCGGAAATACCACATCATTCCCGAGTTCTGCACGGCGAAATCATCGACCGGCGACAACAATGCCGCCGCCGCCGTCTCTGTCCCTGGGAGCCGCCACCACAAGCGGTCCAGAGACGCCATCGGCGACGACCTCTTGAGCGGCGATCGCTTCTCGGCGACTCACGATCCTCGCAAGATGACCAAGGCGTCGCCATCTCGGGGGCACGAATCGGAGATCGACCCTTTGATTTCCCAACATGTATGTAACGACCCTTCTTTCCTCCTTTCCTTTTTCAAATTTTACCTTTCCTTGTCGTCCTCGTCGTCGTCGTCGTCAGTTTATGTTGTTTCGACAAGTTTTTGATGGATTGATTAGGGTTTATGACTTGGTTCTGGGATTTCCAAAAGCAAAACCCTGACAACTTTGTTCTTGACTTCTTTATAGACGCAGGGGCTGGCCAGAAAAATCAAGGAAAAAGACCAAGAGATCGCGAAGATGGGGCAATTGAATCACCTCCTCTGAGAGCAAGTGAAGTCCCTGTTGTCGGAGAACCACATCTGGCGGGGCCTTGCCCAGGACAACGAGGCCGAAGCCGACGCCTACGGCGGCGGCGGCGGCGGGCTCGTCGATGACGCGGAGTCCTCTTGCTGCGGCAGCAACGATGCCGGGACGGCTGGCGTAGAAGGCGGCGGCGGCGGTTGAATAGCTGAGGCCGGGGCAATGATGCACAGGGTGCTGCTGGGAAGATGATGAATTCGGGATCCGCAACAATGGCATCTCTCTCTCTATCTCTATCTCTGAATTCATTGTTTGAAACACAAAACCCGACCCGACCTGACCCGACATGACCCGGCCCAATCGTGTAGCTTTATCTTGTTTGGGTCTTATCTCGGGTCAGGTCGAACACATATGTCCAATATTTGGGTCGGGTCGGGTCGGGTATCATGAAAACCCAACCCGACCTGACCCATTGACACCCCTAGTGGCCACCCTTCCTATTTGGGAGGGAGAGGTGTGGAGTTCGATTTTCCACCTTTTCAGGGAGACTAAGGGTGGAGACGTTTAGTTTCAGATGTGGGTTTCGACTCCCACGCTCTATAAGGAGGCAGGGCAAAAATCTAAAAGTGAGTTGAGAGTTAGAGTATAACAGATAAAAAAAAAATGAGAATATTACATAAGAGTATCTTATGAAATATCATTGATGATAAATTTTAAGAGTAATAACTCTCTCTTTCTTTGTTTCTTTTTTAATATAAGAGAGAGAGATGAGGTTCAACTTATGTTTGACCTTATTTTACATTGTAAACTACGAGCTATACTTATTATAGAGAGAGATTCATCATGGACATGTCCCTAAGAAGATCTTGTTTTTGGTAATGCACGGCCCAAAAAGACCATAATCTATGATATAACCCTAATCCAGTGACGTGACAAGATTATTCCCACTTCTTGTTCGATGAAGGTGGGTTACTCGAACGAGAAAAAAATATCCAAAGTCATAAACCTATTGTTCGCCGACCAATTCAGTTCTAAATCTTTCAATTTTTTCAATTGAGTCCTAAATTTTTTGACAACTTGTCAATTTAGTCCTAAACTTTTCAATTGTGCCAATTTAATCCTAAAATTTTTAATAATTTGTCAATTTAGTCATAAATATTTTAACAATTTGCCAAATTAGTCCTTTCGGTCGATTTTGACTGAAAATCGCTGACGTGGTAATCTAGTCAATGCTGGTCATCCTATGTGATACGGCTAACGTTGACGTGAATAATTTTTAAAATTTTCTTCTTTTTTCCTTTACTTTCCTTTTTTTTCTTTTTTCTTTTTCCCTCTGCTGGCCTCAAGTGAGAATCAACCTCGCCGGCTCGCCCCGCCGGCCTCTCCGGCTTTGGCCGAGGGACGCTCAACCCTAGGCTAGTGAGGGTAGCCCTCGCCTGAGGCCTGCGGTCAAAGAGGCTTGGGGATGGCCGGCGGAGGGAAAAGAAAAAATAAAAATAAAAGGAAAGGAAATGAAAAAAAAAGAAAAAAATTATAAAAATTGTCCACATTAGCGCCAGTTGTGCCATGTTAGACAGTCAGTGCTAACTAGGCCGTCATGTTAATGATTTCCAGTCAAAATTGGCGAAAAGACTAAATGGGCAAATTGTTAAAAATTTATGACTAAATTGACAAATCATCAAAAGGTTTAGGACTAAATTGACAATTGAAAAATTTAGAACTGAATTGGCTACCGTATATTAGGTTTAGGACTTTTTGAACAATCTTCCTCTAGATGTTTATGTGTCAGACTGGTCATAGAATAAAAATATGTTGCCTAACCCATAAAATAAAAAGAATACTCATGTACGGTGTCCAGCAAGAAAGATGGCATGTGATTTTTACAAAGATTTTATTGAGAAATGGGGTATATTTGTTTAGTTGATCTTTGCATATATAACCAGAATTTTTTCTCCCGATGTATTCTTAGAGTGAGTTTGTAGCGTGACAAAACTCACCTGCATTCTAGTGTTTCAACTTATTCATAGAAAAAGTTGGTGTTAGTTTACAAGGTTAATTTATGGAGTGATGCAATAATTATATGACTTCGTTTATTTCGCGAAAAATGAATAATTTGAAAAAAAAAATTTGTAAAAATGATCTCTTATATTACTTATAAAAGTGAATGAACAAAATATATTTTCCGCATTGACGAAAATGTTTAGATGCAAATTGTTGGTGGTAATAAAAATATTTTTCATTGACTAAGTATTTCATGTGACACAAACGATCATTTTTAAGAATTTTTTTAAGTAATTAAGTTTTTACGAGACAAATAGACCTATATAAGAGTTTAGCGCACAATACGCGTGTGTACTTGAATTAATTTGTAAAAGCGAAAAAAGTATTAGACTGAGAGTTGTCTAAAAAAGAAAAAAAATGTTATTTTTTCAGCAGGGAAAATGAGTGAGTAAAGCAAGTGGGTGCTTAGATTGTGGGTAGAATTTAATTGTTAATTTTATGTAATTACTTTATAAACGGTAGATTTGGAAGGAATGTAAAAATGAATTAATTGAATGGTTTTTGGTTTAATGTAAAGATGGGTACACCATGAGCTTCTCCTCATGCTACTTAAGGAATAAATCAAGGTTAACATTTTCATTAATATTCACAAGCCTTCTTTCTTTATCTCTCCAGAACTTAAGGCAAAGCTTGTTCGAAAGGAGCATTTTGGACAAAGAATCCTCATCCATCAAATAGGCTATCGTACTAAACTATCATGGGTTATCTCCTTTTATTTTTTCGATAAAAGTAAGTCTCTATAGAAATAGAGTCTTTTACGAGCACACTCAAGAATTTCAAGAGAGCAGATCTTTGATCGAGTTATCAAGCCTTCAATTTGAATGTAATGAATCTCATGTCGAAATCTCGATCACCCATTTGGAATAATTTCGTTGACTTGCCAACTTACGAATGAAAACCTCATCTAAGTTAGGGGAGTGACTTCGTCCATTTTTCTTTAAAGTTGTTAATTTTTTTGGTCAAATTTATGTTATTAATTGAATCAAAAAATTCTCACACTTTTAAGGAGATTTCTTATAACCAAATTCCGTTTGCTTAACGAAAAATAAGCGATCTAAAGAACATTTTTCTAAAATCGATCTCTTATATCATTTGAAATAATTAAATAACCACAAACGCGATCGTTATCGATAATAATTTATATTTAAATATTTTATGAACAGTAAAACTATCTTTTTTATTTTTTTTATTCGTAAAACAAACGAAATTTCGTTATAAAAAATTTTGTCCGCATATTCGGCCACGGCTTATTGCACCACCGATAAATCAGACATATAATAATCATCGGATCATGTGACACCGTCGATTATGTCCACAAGACCGGACCGGGCATATTCCTGGGGAACTAAGCATGAGCAACGTCGCTCTTCCCCCATGCGCCGGACACGTGTCGAAAGAGCGTAACCCCAGGCGCTCACGTTCCCCACTTAGACGGCAACACGTGTCAAGCGCCCACTCCAATCGCGCCTCTTTTGACCTTTTCCCCACGACTTTCTGAGGACGACAAGCCGCCGCGACCGCCACGTGGAGCGAGCCCGCATCGACACGTGTCGCCTCTCAGGTCCTTCGGTCCCCCCACCGTTTTTTTGGCCCCCTCCGTTCGTGGCGCCCGCAGCTGTCGTCTCGAGAACCGTCCAGCCGCAAGCGTCCAGATTACGGCTCCGGTGACGTCTCGCCCAACGGATCGCTTCGGTTTTCAAGGAGACGAAACCCAACTTCAACTTGACTTTCCCCATTTCCAGAACCGCTCTCCGGCTTCATGTCATGCGCAAGAACGCATAGTTTCCGTTCCTAATTCTGGATTTCTCTACTTCCGATTCACCAGGAAACTCTATATTCAGCCCCGCCGTTGATTTAAGCCGATCGGTTATTCTTGGGTGTCGAGGAATTCGATCTCTCTCTCTCTCTCTCTCTCTTATGGTCTCCCTGCGAACGACAGCGTTTGCAGCCATTTCGATCCGCACCCGCGAGACAGAACCTCCATTCCGTGGTAAAGTCGGCAGCTTTAGGCCCAAAAAGACATACCCATCTTTAGAAACTCGCTCGCCCGACCAAAAATCACTGGCAGTTGCGAGAATTTTAATGGTGATGGATCCAAAACAGGGCGCATCGTCACCGTCGACCTTGATGCTAACTTCGGGCGCGAGTGGCCGCATAAATGCGCTGTTCTCGCTGCGCGCAATGAAGAGCCTGTTGATGCTAATCCGGGCCTTCGTCCTGATTCTTCTCATGCCGTTCCGGGGCCGGAAGCGGGTGGTTGTCGTCTCGGCATCCGCGGCGGAGAAGTCCAAGGATGAGAGGAGTGAGAGCAACGGTGGGAGTAACCGGAAAGTTGGGCCTGTGGTGAGGGTCCCGGCGACGGCGCTGCCGTGGAGGAGGGCGGCGTCGTCGTCGTCGTCGGTGGAGCAAGAGGTGGCGGCACGGAGAGCAATGGCAAAGAAGCGGGTGGCACAGGATGGCGATGAAACTGTCGTTAGGGAGTTTTCAATTTTCACGACTGCAAGGGCGGACGCATTGTTCACACAATCTTGGAGACCCGTTAATGTAAAGATCAGGTGAACCAGAAGCACAAGTTGTCTTTGATTTGCTGTCTGTTTTGTTAAGATTTTTATTCCGAAATTTGCCTGATGAGTTCTGATTTTTCAGTACGTTAATTTGGGAAAGGACGTTTGTCGCGTTTGCTTGAAATTATCGGCGATCGAGAATATATTTATTCTGCACTGTGGAATGTACACTTTGTCCGACCAGGGAAAAAGACAACATTCTGTGAAATTTGCATCGATAACATTTTAAGATTGTTTAATCACATTTATGCATTGACGATTTACCTAGGTGAGTTCATACTCTGCATGTTCTGCTGTATGATATCTTGTTTTCTTACATAGTGCATTTAACACTGGAACATACATGACAAACTTAGTGTTGGTCGTTATTATAACAAAGCATGCTTATGTTTTGGCAGGGGATTGGTCATTCTTTTGCATGGTCTGAATGAACACAGGTTTGTTTTCCACCTGAACTCAGGTGTTACTATGCTGCTTGTTATCTCTGGACCTGATGATTGAGATTTCTTCTCGTCTCTTGTGCCAGTGGGAGGTACAGTAATTTTGCAAAGAAGCTGAATGCCAACGGATTCAACGTTTGCGGAATGGATTGGATTGGTAAGTCCAAATCTGTCTCAGTTTGCATAATCCAAGTTAGAGTTCGCTCGTGGGAACCAAAATGTTCGCATTCCAATTGTCCTCTGTGTATTGTCAAAGAAACCTGGAGTTAGTGATACTCGTCCCTGTTTTCCTAGAACGTGAGCTATTCTATGCAATCTCCTCGTTCTTCTGATTTGTTTTAGTGACCCAGTTTTAACTGGAAGCTGATTATAGAACGGAGGATGTCCTAATTTACAAAAACAAACAGCTCTTCTTTGGCAGTGAACAACAGGAAATAGGTTAAGTTAGCAGCTTATCATAAGCTGGAAATACAGAAATTATATATGAAGTTCACCTTAAAGTCGTATACCAGCTTCAACAGTAGACTCTACTCTGGAGGAAGTAAATGATGGATCAGCTTTGCTCGAAACTCCATCTTAATTTCGGGATAGAGTCGCTTTTTGAAACTTTAGTCATGTGATTTCCTGATTGTTTTGCACCGTCACTGGCCTTTCACATACTAGTATAGGGGGTCGAGGGTTATTTGCATGATCAAAATTTTAATTTCGTCGATTGGCTGGAGACTCACAGTTTCCTTACTGGTGTCCGCTGCTTATTATGTGTGTGATGAGGTGATAACTTGTTCCGGTGTTACAAAAAATTACGCAATTCGACAGAATTTGCGCTCCTGTGCTCTTCGTGTCGGATGCCATCCATATGACGCATGCAATTTTGTTTCCCTCTGCTTATTTGTTCACTATGTATAATAATGTTTCCTAGCAGACATATACAAAACCCCTATCAAGAGATGGCTGCTTTCGAAAACAGTGAACTGCTTTACATAATTCCAATGTGCTTTATTTATTGATGTTTCTTTTAGAAAAATTTCAAATGTTTCGTAGTTATTGCATTGAGAAGAATCATTTATTATCAACAATGCATCTATATTTGGATGCAGGAAATGAGTATTTCATTTCAGATGCTTTTGGGTGGGAAGCCTCTGCTTATGTGTAAGCATAATATTAGAACGTTGCCTGGCCTTGAACTTCTATGATTATGTAGATTGAGCGTGCAAATATTTGGAAAGTTAAGCCGAGGAGAAACTGTCTAAATATTTAAGCCAAACTTTGGAGACAACTTATCAGATGGAAATTGCATTGCATTTACGTTCTACATTGTGCAAACTGAAAATGTCATCTCCCACTCCTATCTCCCTCCCTCCTCTCCGTCTCTTCACAGTGAGTCAAGTGTCTAGTTAGAGATTATGGTACTAGGTGTCTGCAATTGCGAGATGCATCTGTATAGTTTGTATTTTGAGTGGATGAAAAATAGGTTTTAAATCGTCATGTTTGTGAAAATGCTGAATGGTCTCATGAGGATGACAAGATTCCTAGGTAATTGTACAATTGCAAGGTTTTGAGTATCTGTGTAGTCGACAACATTCATTACTTGTCGCGACTTTTTGAAATTTCACTGATACCTTCCTTAAAGATTTGACTGGCATTGCTCTAATGTGCTTTTGTTCGACTCTGTTGTCATCTCTCAGGCCACGGTGGAAGCGATGGGCTGCATGCTTATGTTCATTCTCTTGATGACGCTGTATGCGATCTGGTAAGTATGATGTCCATTTCATACATGTTTATAAAGCGTTTTTTTGCTTTTTAAAATTTTGGGAGTGTTATGCAATCTCCTTATTTTCTTCATCTCTTGTTCTTGCAGAAATCGTTCATCGGAAAAATCTTGGCTGAGAATCCAGGGCTCCCTTGTTTTTGTTTTGGGCACTCAACAGGCGCGGCAATCATTCTTAAGGTAAGATTTCAAAGTGAGCAATGTGAAATACTCCGGTGTGCCATCTTTAGCATATCATGCTCTCTCTCCATCGGTTACTGATCTGCTTCTCATAAGTGAATCGCTCATCTTTTGAAATGCGCATACAGGCTGCTCTTGACCCAAAAGTCGAAGCCTGCATATCAGGCGTTGTGCTAACTTCACCCGCTGTAGGAGTTCAGCCATCCCACCCAATTTACACGGCAAGGACCCTAGTGCTACTTCCTGTTCTTCAGTCTAGCAAACTATGCAAGGACCCTAGAAAATGAGTACATGCATCCCTGACTTTGTAATTACCTCTGCAGATACTCGCTCCGATTGTCTCCCTCTTATTGCCGAGATACCAAGTCGGGGCTGCGAATAAGAAGGGCTTGGTGGTATCAAGGGACCCAGAAGCGCTCGTAGCCAAGTACTCCGATCCCCTTGTCTATACCGGATCGATCCGCGTGAGAACGGGGTACGAGATCCTCCGGATAGCATCCTACTTGCAGCAGAACCTCAGGAAATTGAGGGTTCCCTTTTTGGTCCTCCACGGCACAGCGGATAGGGTGACCGACCCAGATGCTTCCATGAAGTTGTACGAGGAAGCATCCGCGACAGACAAGACAATCAGATTGTTGGAAGGGCACTTGCACGATCTGCTCTTTGAGCCAGAGCCAGACCGTGAAGCCATTATGAAGGAAATAATTGAGTGGCTGAATTGTAGAGTAGAGAGGTAGGAAAGAGAAGCAATTTCAGTTCCTTCTTGTCAATGCATTTGAAGGGAATCGACTGATTCAAAAAAAAATTCAAGTTTCCAGTAATTTTCTTTATCAGAAAGATCAGCTGAAGTTTTTGATGAAAAAGAAGAAAAAAGGATCCTATTCATCGTAAGCATTGGAGTTGACCTCCGGATTACAGTTTTTGGTATCTGCGGTTCCAAGCAAACTACACTACACTGTAGATGTTGTGAAATAGGGAAATCTGAATACAGGATTGACGATTGGTCGACCTGCCTCAATTACTACTGACGTTCTACAATCACAATCGAGCAATTTAAATACATAATTGTATTCCTGACTCTAGATCATATAAAACAGACTCACGACAGAACAGTTAATCCTCACGTGAACTTTTACAAGACATATACTCTCTGGCTAAATCTGATATTCTGTGTATGGAATTGGATCTAACTACAATCAGGAAACTCAAAAGAGCTCTTTAAATCGTAACTAGGATGAATGTGGTAGCTTCACACTTGTCAGATTGATGTCTTTTGGGAAGCTCGAATATCAGAGATACTCCGCGACTCGGGACTTCGCAAGAAGTTGCAAAAATGATCTTAAACTCTCGTTTGTGGATAAGGTTCTGAGTTCAGTGGTGGAAGACGATCACAAGTTTCCCAAAAGATTCAAGTACCTGAAACTTGACTACCTATACAGTTTTTTAAGGGGCAATCTTGCTTCAGTGCTAAAAGCAAAAATAAAAAATACTTCTAGTTGCCCCAGATAAAAGCAATCTTTTGACACCGCTTGTCACGTAGCTTTGGGTAAAATGCTCAAGGCTTCTGGTTTCCAACTCGGATCACCTTCAGCAATGGCTTTTGACAACATTCGTTTGCCCACTACAATTGGCGAGATCGTATGGGAGGAAAAAGTGTGCAGGCTTGTCCTTGGAACTTTTTTACTTTCAGCATTTTCCGCCTACTCTGAATTCCTTGAAGTACTTTTGGACCAGAAGAAAGTGTCTCTGGAATTGCAGCCTTTCGTTTTGAGAGAGCCTTCATTCCGCAGCAATAAGTGGTCAAATAAAGTGCATCGAAGGCGATGCTCTTGTTGGTCCTGTGCTTCCTGTGCCCTTCCTATCAATACTTCATCTTGTATGACATGGCTCTTCAGAAGCATCAGTTGGACTTTCTTCAGAGACAGAACTTGGCCAGCAATTCGGTGAAGTTATGCAGGTGGCTACCAAAATGGCCATGTCGGACTCGGGGTCCTGAGGTTCGTGACGAGCATGCCATTTCGCTTGCAGATGACAGAGAAGAGAGACCTGGACCGCGTTGCAACAAGAAAAATCGTTCTTTTTGTACCACATAGCTTCTTTTTAAGCCTTATGTGCACTATGAAGCTATTTTTGTTTAGCAGAATATTTGATAATCAAGTTCTAAACAAAATTTATTTAATCAACAATATACCTTGTTATGATTAATACATGTTGGAGCGGGAAATAGATTGATAAGCTATATTTATGAGAGTTAATGATGAAGATTTGTCAATAAATAAAGGCATAAAGTTGTCTTTGTCGATAAGTTCTTTCTTTCCCGATCTTCATTAATGCGTAAAATAATGGCAAGCTTATATAATCAACAAGATATATCACGAGCTATTTAATTTCCAGATATTCTACCTTAACTAGCAGTAAAAGTAATTTACTTTCAATATGATTGTGTTCTTTCTATTTTATGAATTGAAATTAACAAGAAAATAATTGGTAACGTATTTTTGTTCTTATCTATTTATGAATTTGGATGAAGTGAGGAAATGAATCCACACTTCCAATTGTAAAACATATTTCTTAATCAAACAATTTAATTTTTTACCAGTCAACTTCTGATTCAATTTGTTGTAATCTATTTATTTTACGATACTTCATAAATTATGTTCCCCATAAGCTATGCATGTCTATAATGCAGTTTAAGTACTTTTATTTTGAGAATTAATTTTTTAGAGAGATTTATTTTGAACAAAAGGTCTTCAATTTCTGTATGAAAAATTTAAATAGAAATAGCGATCGACTGTCCCCGTCCCCACTTTCCAAGAAAGGGAAAGAAATCTGCGAGTACGAAGCGATGGCGAAACAGCTTTTGACTACTTTACTTCAGCAGAAGGATCCTCTGACGTTTTCTTGAGATTTCCTTTTAAATGTTTACCCTTTTAACAGCACGCTCCACATGCAAACAAATTCTTACACAAGCTCTTACCCAAATGAGCGGGAAGAAGAATGGATATAAATCGACCAAGGGATGCTCCAAAGGTGTCTCCTCGTTTCTTGGTTTGCGTGGCAACTGCTGTTACGAAGTCGAGAGTGGTAAGCTTGTTTGACACCAACATCTGAATCAGCCATAGTCGCCGATCACAGCCTTTTCTGGGACTTCGTAACTGTTTGATGTTATAGGTGTTGAGTCAACCTGAACCATCACTCTTCGAAGTTTTGAGCTTTTTCCGCATAAGCATGGCTTCGCAGGGAAAGAAACTCATCAACGACCCAGATGGTTTGCACACAATCTCTTCTTCTGCCTCTTGACATTTCGCTTCATTGTGGTTCCTGGTGCCTTCGTTCTGTTCATGGTTTGATGTAAACGAGAAAGATGTAATCTTGCATGATGTTGTCGTTAAAATCTCGGGAGTTAATCTTTTTTTTTTCTTCTTGACGTGTTATTTCATGTCTTTATTGGCATTTACGTGGTTCGATGACATGAATTTGTCTGTTGTCACGGATGGATGAAAAAAGAGAAAAGGGAAACAGGAAGGAAATGTATCTGTTACATCTGTTTGATGCAATTGCAGATGTGGTGACCGAGTCATCGAGGGTCTTGGCGAAACTTATCCTAATTTGCAGTACTTGGATGATTTTCCCGAGTTGATTCCAACTTGCGTGATAAATAATTTTTTGGATGCTTCTTTCGTGAGACTTACGGTTTATGCAGTGACTCACACAAGCTGCCGCACGCTGTTCTCGCTGTGCACATTGAAGAGCCGGTTGATGCTGACCTGCGCCCCGTTCCGGCGCCGGAAGCGGGTCGTTCTTGTCTCGGCGACCGTGGTAGAGAAGTCCAAGGATGACAGGATTGAGAGCAACAGTGGGAGTAACCGGAAAGGTGGGCCTGTGGTGAGGGTCCCAGCAACGGCACTCTCGTGGAGGAGAGTGGCAGCAGCATCGGTGAAGCAGAAGGTGGCGGCACGGAGAGCGATGGCAAAGAAGCAGGTGGTGCAGAATGCCGATGAAACTGTCGTTAGGAAGTTTTCAATTTTCATGACAGCGAGGGGTAATGGATTGTTCACGCAATCTTGGAGACCTGTTAATGTAGAGATCAGGTGAACTAGAAGCACAAATTGTTTTTGGTTTGCTGTCTGTTTTGTTAAGATTTTTAATTCGAAATTTGCCTGCTGAGTTCTGATTTTTCGGAAAGGATGTTTGTCACATTTGCTTAAAATTGTAGGCTATCGAGAATTTATTTATTCTGCACTGTGGAATGTACATTTTGTCAGACCAGGAAAAAGACAATCTGTGAAATTTGCATTGATAACATTTTAAGATTGTTTAATCACATTTCTGCATTGATTATTCACCTAGGTGAGCTCATACTCTGCATGTTCTTCTGTGTGATATCTTGTTTTCTTACATTGTGCATTTAACACTGGAACATACATGGCAAACTTGGTGTTGGTCGCTATTATGACAAAGCATGCTTATGTTTTTGCAGGGGATTGGTCATTCTTTTGCATGGTCTGAATGAACACAGGTTTGTTTTCCATCTGAGCTTAGGTGTTACTATGCTGCTGGTTATCTCTGGACCTGATGATTGAGATTTCTTTTCGTCTCTTGTGCCAGTGGGAGGTACAATAATTTTGCAAAGAAGCTGAATGTCAATGGTTTCAAAGTTTACGGAATGGATTGGATTGGTAAGTCCAAATGTGTCTCAGTTTGCATAATCCAAGCCAGAGTTTGCTCCTGGGAACCAAAATGTTCGCATTCCAATTGTCCTCTTTGTATTGTTAAAGAAACCTGGAGTTTGTGATACTCGTCCCTGTTTTCCTAGAATGTGAGCTACTCCACGCAATCTCCTTGTTCTTCTGATTTGTTTTAGTGACCCAGTTTTAACTGGAAGCTGATTATGGAACGGAGGATGTCCTAATTTACGAAAACAAACCGCTCTTCTTTGGCAAGCGAACAACAGGAAATATGTTAAGTTAGCAGCTTATCATAAGCTGAAAGTGCAGAAATTACATATGAAGTTCACCTTAAAGTGGTATAACTGCTTCAACAGTAGACTCAACTCTGAAGGAAGTATCTGATGGATTGGCGCTCAAAACTCCATCTTAACTTCAGGATAGAGTCGCTTTTTGAAACTTCAGTCATATGAATTCCTGATTGTTTTGCACCATCACTGGCCATTCGCACACTAATGTACATTTTCACATATACGGGGTCGAGTGTTATTTGCATGAACAAAATTTTAATTTTGTCGATTGGCTTGAGACTTACAGTTTCTTTACCTGTGTCTGCTGCTTAGTCTGTGTCTGATGAGGTGATAACTTGCTCCAGTGTTACAAAAATGACGCAATTCGACAGAATTTGCACTCCTGTGCTCTTAATGTCAGATGCCATCCATTTGACACAAGCAATTTCGTTTCCCTGTACTTCTTTGTTCACTATGTATAATAATGTTTCATATCCAAAACTCCCATCAAGAGATGGCTGCTTTCGAAAACAGTGAACTGCTTTTCATAATTCTAATGTGCTTTATTTATTGATGTTCCTTTAGAAAAATTTCAAATGTTTCATAGTTATTGCATTGAGAAGAATAATTTATTATCAACAATGCATCTATATTTGGATGCAGGAAATGAGTATTTCATTTCAGATGCTTTTGGGGGGGAAGCCTCTGCTTATGTGTAAGCATAGTATTAGAATGTTGCCTGGCCTTGAACTTCTATGATTATGTAGATGTAACGTGCATATATTTGATAAATTAGGCCGAGGAGAAACTATCTAAATGTTTCAGTTAAACCCTAGAGACAACTGATCGGACGGAAATTGCATTGCATTTACGTTCTACATTGTGCAAACTGAAAATGCCATCTCCCACCCCTGTCTCCCTCCCTCCTCTCCCTCTCTTCACAGTGAGTCGAGTGTCTAATTGGAGATTGTGGTACTAGGTGTCTGCAATTGCGAGAAACATCTGTATAGTTTGTATTTTGAGTGGATGAAAACGGGTTTTGAATTGTCATGGCTATGAAAATGCTGAATGGTCTCATGAGGATGACAAGATTGTTAGGCGAGTGTACAATTGCAAGGCTTTGAGCGTCTGTGTAGTCGACAACATACATTACTTGTTGTGACTCTTTTAAATTTGACAGATACCTTCCTTAAAAATTTGACTGGTGTTGCTCTAATGTGCTTTTGTTCGACTCTGTCGTCATCTCTCAGGCCACGGTGGAAGCGATGGGTTGCATGCTTATGTTCGTTCTCTTGATGACCCTGTATGCGATCTGGTAAGTATGATGTCCATTTCATGCATGTTAATAAAGCGTTTTTTCCTTTTTAAAATTTTGGGAGTGTTATGCGATCTCCTTATTTTCTTCATTTCTTGTTCTTGCAGAAATCATTCATCGGAAGAGTCTTGGCTGAGAATCCAGGGCTCCCTTGTTTTTGTTTTGGGCACTCAACAGGTGCGGCGATCATTCTTAAGGTAAGATTTTTAAGTGAGCAATGTGAAAAACTCGGCGCAGCATCTTTAGCCTATCATGCTCTCTCCCCATTGGTTACTGATCTGCTTCTCATAAGTGAATCGCTCATCTTTTGAAATGCACATATAGGCTGCTCTTGACCCAAAAGTCGAAGCATGTATATCAGGCGTTGTGCTAACTTCACCTGCTGTAGGAGTTCAGCCATCGCACCCAATTTACACGGCAAGGACCCGAGTGATATTTTCTTTTCTTCAGGCCCCAAACTATACAAGGACCCTGGAAAATGAGCAAATGCATCCCTGCCTTTGTAATAACCTGTGCAGATACTCGCTCCGATCGTCTCCCTCTTATTGCCGAGATACCAAGTCGGGGCTGCGAATAAGAAGGGCTTGGTGGTATCAAGGGACCCAGAAGCGCTCGTGGCCAAGTACTCCGATCCCCTGGTCTATACTGGATCCATCCGCGTGAGAACGGGGTACGAGATCCTCCGGATAGCATCCTACTTGCAGCAGAACCTCAGGAAACTGAGAGTTCCCTTTTTGGTCCTCCACGGCACCGCGGATAGAGTGACCGACCCGGATGCTTCCGTGAAGTTGCACAAGGAAGCATCCGCGACGGACAAGACAATCAGATTGTTGGAAGGGCACTTGCACGATCTGCTCTTCGAGCCAGAGCCGGAGCGCGAAGCCATTATGAAGGAAATAATTGAGTGGCTGAATAGTAGAGTAGAGAGGTAGGAAAGAGAAGCAATTTCAGTTCCTTCTTGTCAATGCATTTGAAGGGAATCGACTGACTCAAAAAAATAAATTTCGAGTTTCCAGTATTTTTCTTCATCTGAAAGATCAGCTGAAGTTCATGATGAAAGAGAAGAAAAAAGGATCCTATCCATCGTAAGCACTGAAGTTGACCTACGGCTAATAAATTCTAGTAGCTGCGGTTCCAAGTAAACTCCATTGTACATGTTGTGAAATAGGAAGATTCTTTCGACCAAAAACAAAAAAAATAGGAAGATCCGAATTCAGGATTGACGATTTGCTTGGTCTGCCTCAACTTGAATTAATGGGAGGATTACATCGAACATTTTCATATAGTTTAGAGACTACATTGAACATGTATCAAAAGTTCGGTGACCATATTGAACAAAATAAAAGTTCAGGGATCGTACTGAATATTAGACTAAAATTCAGGGACTTTATTAAACAAATTAAAAGTTTATAGACCATATTGTACATTGAACCAAAGTTTAAAAATTATTTGTGCCATTATCTCGTTTAGTAATACAAACGCTTTTGAGTCCCTGTCTCTCTTTATCTTTAAACACTTTTTCCGTCTAGAATTCCCTTCCTTTTTTACTGTGAAAGTAAGAGCGAGAGCAACCGATCGCAAATCTTAATGCTCAAATGTCACGAGACACGTCCATTTGGGTCGGGACTCCACAATTAGCTTTGAACTCACGACACTATTTGAATATATGGCGCCTGTGATTTTTTTTGGAGATCTTTGGACCGTTTTCATAATCCGAACCGACATTTTTTTTACATAATTTAATTTACTATTGTATCTTCTGTATGAAGTTCGAAATACGATGTAACTAAATAGAATAGGTACAATCAAACTAAATCGAAATACTGAATAGAACATAGAATAACTGGATTAGAATTTTATTCTACGTTCTAGGAAATAGAAATTCTAATCTTTAGAACAGTAATATTTAACTACTAACTAAAATATAATATGTATTTCAATTAACATTAATAGTTATTCGTTATATATAAATATAATTGAATGATAAAAAAATATTTATCTAATTTAACTCATATTTTTATAGGGCTAAGTCCAAAAAAAAAAGCATCAACTTTACCTTTAGCAACAATTCTGATCCAAACTTTTTTTTTGTCTCAATAAAAAAACATCAACTTTTATTCGAATCCCTAATCTGGCTTAATGTGAAATTTTCAACTTATTTGGTTAAAATACCATCATTTTTATTTCACTTAAGCCGTGTTAAGATTGTTTGCTTTTCGGTATTCATGTAGACAGATTTTTAACGATTCTCGTTGACAGAATTTCGACGGAGGGTAAATGTGTTGTATAACTACAAATTAGAATTTTTTGTGTGACATGAGAAAAATCAGATAAATATATCAATGTAGGCATAGCCTTTTAATGAAATAATCTCCGCTTCCTCAGCCGCCCGCCTCCAAAGCTCTCTGTTCTTTCCCTTGACGAGGTTGTCCCTGCAATCTTGCCACCTGCGAAACCGGAGTTGGAGTTTGGCTGGTTGCAGAACCAATTCTTGAATCCCTCCCACCACATTGTTGCCCTTGAGGCTAAGAACGGTCGGTGAGAGACCGTGCCCTGCAGAGAGTACTAGCATCGAGAGTCGCCGTGAAGTTGAGCTCCTCACCGGTTTGCGCCCCCTTCCGTTCATCGGTGCAGCGATCCGCGGTAAAGCTCCAACCTTGATCACGCCCAGAAGAAACTCTTCCGTGGACTGAATCAACGGCCGCTTGGTCTCTTTCCCCTCCGCCCAACCAATTCTGGAAACGCAGTTTTCTCTGATGTTTGGACGACCATGGACTTCAACCAGGAATGGAAGTCGAAGTTCCCAATTAACACCGTCTTCAAGTCCCCACTTCTCGTAGCGGACCCCTCCGCCTTAAAATCTCAACTGGGTCCTCTGATCTTCAACCCCAAGCCCGATTCTCGAGCCGAACTCCTATCTTCTCCTTCTCTTGTTTCGCCTCCGGTTATACCCCCTCTTCCTCGGCTCTCCCTCTCCAGATTCATCAGCACCAGCTCTTCGGCGCCACCCTCGGCGTCCTCCAAGATCGAAGGTTTGTTCGGCCCGGATCAGACCGACGCGGCTTCCGGCTTCGCGCACAACCGCCTCCAGTTCCTTTGCTGCCCGGACACTAGCAAGGTGATTGTCTTCTTCCCAACAGGTGCTAATTCTGACCAAGTTGGATTCTTGAATTTGTCTGAGGAGGATGGGAAGTTTAAGGTCAATATTGGTGAGGATGGTGATGTCTTTAGGTCCAAGAAGAGATTTTGTCACTCCATTGTCAGGATTGTCGTTAACTCAATTCCGGATTCAGGGGATTGCTTGCCGAGCAATATCGGGTATCTGTTGGCATATACGATGTACTCAGTGCACTGGTTTGTTGTGAGGAGGGTTGGAAATTCCGGGATACCGGTCTTGGTCTCTTTGGGTAGTAAGGTTTTCAAGACTTGCGCTGTTGTGCATGCTTGTTGGTGTCCTGAGTTGCCTGAATGGAGTGTGGTTTTGTTGGAGAGTGGTAATCTATATTTGTTTGATCTCGAGTGTGTCTTGCATAAGGTTGGTTTAGAGCATAATTGGAAAGGTACTCGGTTGAGAGTTTTGTGGGATCATACCGCTAGTTCAAAGAGTGCTAAATGGTTGGGATGTGAATTCAGCTGGCATCCGAAAATATTGATAGTTGTACGATCAGATGCGGTCTTTCTAGTGGATTTTAGATCTGAGCAATGCATTGTACGATGCATAGCAAATATTGGGATGTCGAGTAGTTATGCGTCCATGGAGAAGGATCGGTTTCTTGCATTTTCTCGGGCCGGGTCCGATGGTTTTCACTTTGCCTTGGCTACAGACAAGCTTTTACTTCTGTGCGATACACGTAAGCCGCTGAACCCGGTGTTGCAATGGTCCCATGGTCTTGATAGGCCATGCTACATCGATGTGTTTAAATTGTCCAAATTGAGATCAAACTCTAAACAAGACACATATGAGCATGCTTCCAAACTGGGTTTCTGTATCTTACTAGGATCTCTCTGGAACTGTGAGTGGAACCTGTTCTGCTATGGGCCTCCTTTACCTGACGCCAGAGGATCGTTTCCTTCAAAAGTTTCAGGGATTTGTGACTCTTTTTATGCATGGGGCCTCCCCTCAGAACTCTCACTTTCAGGTCGTGAGTGTGGCTCTGGAAGCTGCCTTTTGAAAGAAGAATTCTTAAAGAAATCTCCACCTCAATGGGTAGATTGGCAACGGAAAAGAGAAATGGTATTGGGATTTGGAATTTTAGGCATCGGTCTCTCTTCACCAGCTTCTGATGATGATGAATATGGTAGCTTCACACTTATCAGGTTGATGTCCTCTGGGAAGCTTGAATATCAGAGATACTCCGCGTCTTGGGACTTTGCAAGAAGTTGCAAAAATGATGTTAAACTCTCATTCGTGGATGATGGTCTGTGTTCAGTGGTGGAAGACGATTACAAGTTTCCCAAAAGATTCAAGTATCTGAAACTTGACTACCTCTACAGTTTTTTAAAGGGCAATCTAGCTTCAGTGCTAGAAGCAAAAATTGAAAAAACTTCTGGTTGCCCCAAAGGAAAGGAATTTTTTGACCCTGCTTGTCATGTAGCTTTGTGTAAAATGCTCAAGGCATCTGATTTCCAACTCGGATCACCTTCAACATTGGCTTTTGACAACATTCGTTTGCCAACTACAATCGGTGAGATTATATCGAGGAAAAAGTGTGCAGGCTTGTCCATGGAGCTTTTATCTTTAGCATTCTCCAGCTACTCTGAATCCCTTGAAGTACTTCTGGACCAGAAGAAAGTGTCTCTGGAATTCTTGGTTGTTCCAGAGACGGTGCAATTGCAGCCTTTCATTTTGAGAGAGCCTTCATTCCGCAGCAATAAGTGGTCAAATAAAGTGCATCGAAGCGATGGTCTTGTTGGTCCTGTGCTTCCTGTCCCCTTCCTATCAACACTTCATCGGGTCAGAGACAGCTCTTCAGAAGCATCAGTCAGCCTTTCTTCAGAGACAGAACTTAGCCTGCAATTCGGTGAAGTTATGCAGGTGGCTACCAAAATGGCCATGTCGGACTCAGGTCCTGAGTTTCATGATGAGCATGCCATTTCGCTTGCAGATGACAGAGAAGAGACCTGGACCGCGTCACAACAAGAAAAACCGTTCTTTTTGTACCACACAGGTTCTTTTAAGCCTTATGTGCATCCTGTATGTTCTCGTATGGTCTCCAAAGTGGTTGACTCTAAGGCCGTTTCTAGCAAGAGCACCGATGCTACTGGGTTAGAAATTTTCGATAATATATGCCCAATCAAGATGACATTCAATTCCAGTCAACAGGATTTTGGGTCTAAGGAACTAGCTATCTACAACATATTGAAAGGACAGTACTTAAAGCAGCAAGAAAGCTTCGATCCCTACCAAGACTTTCTTAGTCGGTGCAAACTTCAAAAGTGGAGAAGCAGCGTCTGAGAAATTTGGGGAGTGAGATAGTATGTTGTACAGTGTTTAGAAATCTTGATCCAACCCCTATTTGATCTTTGTCGTTTAGACAAAGTAAGTTATGAAGACTGCTTTGGTGTCAAAGTTTATGTTGTATCATGATCTAATATTATTGTTAGGATTAGTCCTAGTCAAAGCTATAAGCAAATGCCGAAGGCAAGTATTATTTAATAGCAGGAATGATGATTCCATGATAGTCATCTGATGTAGGAGAACAAAAATTTAAGAATCTGAAATATGTGAAGATTGCTTGTGTTCCATACTTCTAACTTGTTCTGTTCTTTTTCTTCCCTTGCTTTTCTTTTACAAAGATGGTCTATCTGAATGCCTCCATCCCATTGTCCTATGTTGTGATACAAACTCAGGGTATTTTCTTTCATGATGCCCTTAGTTATATGAATCTTTTAGGGTAAAAAGTCATTCACATCCTTCGGGTCGGTCTCTGCACTTACCATTGTTTGTTCATGCCAAAGACATTTTCATGTCACATGTTAACATGCTTTTGACTAGGAAGTCCCATATATTGCTTTATGCCTTCTCAGTCACAGGTTCGGCGATCTTGATTAGTCGTTCTGTCTTGTATGTTGTCCTTCTGTAGCTCAGGGGTGAGGGAGGTTGATTTTGTAAAGCTTCTTTCTCAATTCTTGTATCTCTGTAACAATAAGGAACTAAGTTTGATAGGGGTTAATGTTCTTTTGGCTGTGCATTTTTCAGCTGCCTCCTTTTTTGACCATTTTCTTTCTAGCTGAAGTCGAATTTATCCCTAGATGCATTTTTAATCTAGGAAAAAAACTAACCAAAAATCCTAAATTATGCCTACTGTGATGCAACCTGCTTCAAGAAATTGATGAAAATGGTCGTCTATTTTCTTCTGTCGATTACTGAAATTGAAAGTCCCGGTTCTTTTGTCAATTACTCGGCATCTTTTCTTCTAAATAGGTCTGGAGCTCATGCAAGAACCATAATTTTTTTATTAATAAAGTACAAATTTTAGAGCGAATGCAGTGGAATTAGCGGATGGTTAAGGCTCTTTCCATGTTATGAGTCTTTTTTTTTTCTTAACACATAGTCTTCAATTTATTGTGTTACGAAATATACTTTTTTCCCATCTTATTATAATGTCCAAAAAATTCGAATTCGTGATCTTTTTGAATTATGTAGAACAAAGACATTCTTCAATTAATTCATAAAAGATATCTATGTGTATTTCCTTTCACACATCCTCTACTTTTTGTCTTATCCTCAAATGGTCCATTTGATTGGACTTTTTTTCCAAAATAGATTACTTTGAAAAAGTAATTCTTAAATAAATCTCTCCCGGAATTAATTCGTAAATTAGCTTGTCATTGCCAAATTATCCCTAACATTGCCTAGTCATCACCCTTTTCATCCTAGTCACCATTACATCTCTCTTAAAAGATAATATCAAATATTTTGCACAATCTTTATTACCGTAAACAATTAAAATCGAAATTAAGTTGCACATAATCAAAGATTGATTTAATTTTTTGATTTGTTATTCTGCTCATTCAATTTCCCATGGAGTTTAGATTAAAATTATAGATAAAAAGTAATTTAAAATACAACTTAAATTAAGTAGCCTATGTTGAATATGATTATCAAAGCATCGTAATATAGTACTAGTTATATAATAATATAAAAAATATTATAATATCTAATCGATAAATGAGAAATTGCAATTGAACTGTGAATTAACTTCTCATTACTTTTAGTTCAAGTATAATTTAAAAACTAAATAGCTCTGATTAATACATGTTGGAGGGTCCAATTCCAAAAAAAACCCTCAACTTTATACTTTGTCCCAATTATATCCTGAACTTTTTTTTGTCTCAAGAAAAATCACAAACTTTTATCCAAGTCCCAAATCTGCCTCCAGTTATAAATCCATCCAATTAACGTCGGAAAAAAAAAAAAAAAAAAAAAAAAAAAAATAGAGAACGCGAGTGGCAAGCCGCGCTGGCGCGCACGCGCCGGCCGGGAGCGGCGCCTCACCGGCCTTCCGAAGGCGGTGGCGCCGCCCCGACGGGCGCACGCCCTGCGGCGACTCGCTCGGGGGGAGGTCGCGGCTGGGCCTCTCGGGCGCCCCGGCCGAGCCCGGCGAGGGCGCACGCCCGATCGGGGAGGCGCGACCTCCCCCAATCGGGATGCACGCCCTGGGCGACCGCCGGGGCGAGGCCTTCGGAAGGCCTAGGCGAGGGCCGCCGCTCCTTCCCGTGGCGGCCACCGGCGAAGGCTTGGCCGCCGCAACTCGGTTCTCTATTTTTTTTTTTTCCGACGGTAATTGGACGGATTTATAACGGGAGGGCAGATTTGGGACTTGGATAAAAGTTTGTGATTTTTTTTTAGACAAAAAAAAGTTAAGGATATAATTGGGACAAAGTGTAAAGTTGAGGATTTTTTTTGGAATTGGGCCCATGTTGGAGCGGAAAATATATTGATATATCCATGATCCAACGATCTAACCAAAATAGGGCCAGCTTGCCATTCCTTACCAATGGTTCGAGTCTGCAAGGCATAACATTGAGGGGCCACCTTCAAGCTAAAAGTCATTCTAGAAAGATATCCTATATTGATAAAGTATATTTCCGAGTTTTTTTTATTGAATATTTCTTAGAGTTAATAATGAAGAATTATCAATAAATAAACGCTTAAAGTTGTCTTTGTTGATAAGTTCTTTCTCTCTCGATCTTCATTAATTCTAAAAATAACGACAAGCTTATATAATCAACAAGATATATTAGAAGCTGTTTAATTTTTTGATATTCTACCTTAACTAGCAATAAAAGTAATTTGCTTTCAATATGATTGTGTTGTTTCTATTTTATGAATTGAAATTAATAAGGAAATAATCCGTAACATATTTTTGTTCTTATCTATTCATAAATTTGTATGTAACAAGGAAATATTTCCACACTTCCAACTGCAAAACATATTTATTAATCAAATAGTTAATTTTTTAATATTCAACTTCTGATGTAATCTGTTGCAAAATTAATAGATTTATTAATCATTGTCGGTAATAAAATATATTTTATTTATTAATTATTTCAAGCGATATGAATGATTATTTTTAGAAATGAACCGAGCCTGAATTTTTCCCTAAAATAGCACACTCCACCCCCATGCAAGTCAATTCTTGCATAAGCTTTTACCCAAATAAGCGGAAAAAATGGAGATAAAGATCCACATAAATCAACCAAGAGACACTTGAAAGGTGCTCAGGAGCAACCCAACCCCACCTTCTCATGACTCGAGAAGCATACTGAGGTGTCTCCTTGTTTCTTGGTTCGCGTGGCATCTGCTGTTACAAGATCGAGATTGGTAAGCTTGTTTGACACCAACATCTGAATCAGCCACCGTCGCCGATCACAGCTCTTTTTCTGGGGACTTTCGTAACTGTTCGATGTTTATATAGGTGTCGAGTCAACCTGACCCATCATCACTCTTCTTCGAAGTTTTGAGCTTTTTTCCAGCACGAACATGGCTTCGCAGGGGAAGAAACTCATCAACGACCCAGATGGTTTGCACACCATTTCTTCTTCTGCCTCTTGACATTTCGCTTCGTTGTGTGGTTCTTTGGTGCTTTTGGTCTGTTCATGGTCTGATGTGAATGAGAAAGATAGTAATCTTGCGTGATGTTGTCGTTAAAATCTTGGGCGTTGATTTTTTTTTCCTTTCTTGGCGTGTTATTTCACGTCTTTCTGGGCATTTACGTGGTTCGACGACATGAATTTATCTGTGTCGCTGATGGATGAAAAAGAAAAGAAAAGTGAAACAGAAAGGAAATGTATCTGTTTCATCTGTTTGATGTAATTGCAGATGTGGTGACCGAGTTCATCGAGGGTCTTGTGGAAACTTATCCTAATTTGCAGTACTTGGACGGTTTTCCTGAGGTGATTACGACTTTCTCGATAAAATTGTTTTTTTTTATGTTTCTATTGTGAGTCTTGCAGTTTATGCAGTGACTCACGCGATCCAATCCTATTGGTGGAAATGCAGGTGAAGGTTGTGGTGCGGGCTGATGTTTCGCCTGCTACGTATGACAAGGTCGCCGTTATATCAGGTTAATGTTGTCTCCCCTGCATTTCTATGTTATTGTTTTAGAATCTAATTATGCTCATTGAATTTCTTGGATTCTTATTTTGTGGGTGACGTCCATGACATGGACGTGATATAGTTGTTATCTTTCAGTTCCTGCCGATGTTTCTACGTTCAGGCACTTTTTTCCTCTCATTAAGGAACCGTCGATCTGTTCGCAACTCCTCATTCCCCACAGCTCCTACTTCATCTGCCTAATTAATTCATTTACGGTTCAATCATCTTGGAAACGGAAACCAATGGACTTCAACAGCAGGCCACAATTTATGCATAAGGATCTCCAGTTCAATGATCTATGCTATTTCTTTGTCAGGTGGCGGTAGCGGCCATGAGCCAGCTCATGCTGGATTCGTGGGTGAAGGGATGCTGACAGCTGCAATATGTGGTGACGTTTTTGCTTCTCCACCAGTTGATGCCGTTCTAGCTGTATGTTTTCTCACGATTATACGACTAAACAAGGAAAATGTCATGGATGTCTTGCTTTATGTTTTGTCTCCTTGTCTATGAGATTTGTTTTGCTCTATCGTATATATTTCAGGGCATCCGAGCTGTAACTGGTCCAATGGGGTGTCTACTTATTGTCAAGGTACTTACTTTACTTTATCCTGCCACCTCATAGAGTATTTTGACATATATGTAAACTCGTGTATACAAGGGAAAAAATGAAAATTTTGAGAACTGCATTTTTGTTGCCACAGAAATTTGGGGAGTTTATGTAGTTCTAGCAGCCGCATAGACCACAAGTACTTATTTCCTTGCACTATAACATCTGTCCAAAACAGAAGATCTAACAGAAGAAGGATTACAATCTCCCTTTTGCAGAATTATACCGGTGATCGCTTGAACTTCGGATTGGCTACTGAGCTGGCTAAATCCGAAGGTTACATGGTTGAGGTACTTACCCTGTGATTACTTGCAGATATGAATTGTGATTTTAATATATGCTGGAGACTTGTGTCAAAAGGTTATGCCTCATTGCAGATGGTGATTGTCGGAGATGATTGTGCTTTACCTCCCCCTCGAGGCATAGTCGGGAGGAGAGGATTGGCAGGGACAATTCTAGTTCACAAGGTTCGAGGTCTTTATCTCTCTGAAAGGTTGTTCTGTAAATGTCCCTTTTGGTGCTAAACAATAATCTTTTCTTTCCCCCCTTCTCATGGTCCACGCTTGTATGCTTAAATTTTTGCCACTTTCACTTTCATAGACTACTTCAACCTTACCTTCTCTCGTAATTTTTTGTTGTAATTGATCTTTAAATTAGGAAGCTCCAGTTCTGGTGAATTAATTTGTAGAAAATTATTAAATTGTTGAATTAAGAAAGTCAGAAGGGCATCCCTTTCAGATTATTTTTCTGAAGTTTTCGCGCATCTGGCAATGTCTATGGTTCATTGTTGTTGAGAGACTCTGCACTTCTTGCTCTACATTTATGGGTTTGTGAAAGTGAAGAATACAGATATGATTCTTTGCTTTGATTTGTAAATATAAGGTCGCTGGAGCTGCAGCCACAGCTGGGCTCTCACTTAAGGATGTTGCAGCAGAGGCAAAGCGTGCATCAGAAATGGTTGGGACGATGGGTGTTGCATTATCTGTTTGCACGCTACCAGGTCAGGCTACTTCAAATCGTTTAGGACCAGGAAAGATGGAACTTGGCCTCGGAATCGTGAGTTATCTTGAATTCTCTGCATTATATTTATGACCATGCAGTAAGCACAAGCTTACAAATGAGTGATAATGATATACCGGGCAATGGCTCCACTACTCACATAGCTCAAGCTATGTTGAGCTTCCCTATCATTCATGAGAAGCGTCTCCTTTATAATGTCCCTTTCCAATGCAAGCATTCTTGTGTATGTGCTTGTCTAAAATCTTTTGACTATGATTCTACTCCATATAATTCTTTGACTAAACAGTACAATCTTTTCTCTGGCAGCATGGAGAACCAGGTGTGGCTGTGGCTGACATTCAGCCAGTGGACATAGTGATTTCTCATGTTTTAACAAAAATATTGTCACCGGTATGACCTTTAACTAGGGTACTAAAATTTTTGTAGCAGATCAAGTCAAGTCAATATTCCTTTTTTCTAACTCCATTCAAAATCGTTTTCCTTGGGCTCTCTCTGTATCGATAATATAATTTTTTTTCTTTTTTCCTGAAGTTTTAAATGTCTTGACCTCATGTGTTAACATATCCACATGATACTTGCTCGTACACACTGTTGTCTGCTTATACAACTACCTCAAACAAAACCAGCGACTGCTTTAGTTCTCTTTTATAAGCAAAATGGATTGGCTTGTTTTACTTTTTTTTTATGGTCGTGGGCTTGTATTACTTGAACAGGTGATTTTTCGATACGAGAGAGCAATTCTTCAAGAACAGATGGGACAGTTTTCCCTGATTGTTTCTTGACATTCCTACTTCTCTTGAGCCATAACTTATCCTACCTACCTTGATAAACTTTTTCGACACCTTACGATCCCATTTATGCAGCTTGACTGATGGTTCTGCAACTTTTACTATCATCATGTAACAAGTCCTTTTCTTCCTTGAATATTCTGTACATGACTCTATGTACTCTCTTAGCGAATTTCTTCACATCATGGATGAGGCAGAAGAATGAGTTTAACGTAAATTAGCAATCTTTGGTTGATTGATTGATCTCCTCAGGAGTCGAACTATGTCCCCATTTCACGAGGTCATAGAGTGGTTATTATGATAAACGGGTGAGTCTACTCTCTAACCTTTTTCTTCTGGTGTACTGGATAACCATTAGATGCTGTTTAGACAATGTGATTGCAGTTTTAAACATCTCTTACACTTTTCCTTTCTGAATTATAGGCTCGGTGCCACCCCAATTATGGAGCTCATGATTGCATCGGGGAAAACAATAACTAAACTGCAGCTAGAACATGGACTAGCTGTTGATAGAGTATATGTTGGGTCACTTATGACTTCTCTTGATATGGCAGGTCGGTCACTTTTTATGTGCTATTACTATGATGGACTAGTTCTGATCGTTGTGTTTCTATCAGGATTTTCAATCACTATTATGAAGGCAGATCAATCAATTTTGCAGCGGTTAGATGCTGCAACTAGGGCTCCGGCATGGCCTGTTGGAGTTGATGGTGCGTGTGCATTTAAGCTTTTCCCCCCTCCTTGTTACTCTTTTTCCATGGTTATAACAAAAAGAGATAAAAGCTACTTTACTGATGTCGGTACCAACCTTCAGAGTAAGGATGCGCATGCTTTCGATAACATGTTGATTTTCTATTACTAGTGCAACAGTAGTTTTAAAATACGATCATGGAGATCAGCATGGTTTGTCATGCAGGGAATCGCCCAACACCAAAGTTTCCGGTTCCGATGCCACCATCTTCCTTAAAAGCTATGAATGTGGTATGAAATTTGTGTACAAGAGGACTTTTGAGATTTTCTATAACTGTTGTACACTTATTGAAGTTTATCAATGACTATCTCCTTGATCAAAGCTCATTGATTATGATTTACTTCTGATTAGTCATCAAGTCGGCCACAGGAGCTGAGCAAACAGGGCCTGCTTCTCGAGGCAGCTATTGAAGCTGCAGCAAAAGCAGTTATTGATATTAAAGACCAGTTGAATGAGTGGGATGGCGAAGCAGGAGACGCCGACTGTGGGTCAACAGTAAGTCCTTTAAAAGTTTCTTCTTGTTTGTCATTGGCGCATTTTTTCTTCCCACCCTTTTGGCTTCCGGCTCAATATTTACATGTTCTGCAGTTGTTTAAAGGTGCAACGGCTATTTTGGAGGACTTGAAAAACCAGTGAGTTCGGTTAAAACTAAGTCCAACTCCATTAAATTCGATTTTGCTTGTACCTTTTTGTCATCAATGAAGTTCAAGTAAAGGGCATGACTATGAAATGTTGACTTTTCTGTTGCAATGAAATGCTGCCCTATCTAACAAATAAGTAGCTTTTGGATGGTAACACCAATATATGAATATTTGCCTGATCGCTTTATTCGTTTCCTTCTACTTCCCAGCTATCCTCTCAATGATGCTGCAGAGACAGTAAACGAGGTCGGGACATCCATAAGAGTGATGGGTGGAACTAGTGGGATCATGTAATGTACTCTCCTTTGCTCTCTCTTAGTTGAGGGTTGGGTTTTATCTTTGCATGTGTATTCCAACTAAAAAACTAAAAGGGTGCAACCCTTTTTCCCCCTGTTGGAACAGATATAACATATTCTCTAAGGCTGTATACGCGAAATTGAAAGGGAGTGCTATTTCACCAAAACAATGTGAGATTACGCTCTCCTTCTGATAATTTGACATGTTTGATGGCCCTGGCCTCACTCCTTTTCTTGATTCAGGGGCCGAAGCATTTGAAGCCGGCATCAATGCTATCAGTAAGTATGGAGGAGCAAGTGCTGGTTATCGCACAATGTTGGATGCCTTGATTCCAGCATCTAGAGTTCTTCATGAGGTCATTGATAATAAATACGCTGCTGTTTTTGCCCTCTGTTGTTGACGTGTTCACTGTACAATCCCTTGGTTTCTAAATATTTTTTTCATCAACAGAAGTTGGATGCTGGCGTGGATCCGGTAACTGCATTTGTTCTCTCATCTGAAGCAGCATTGGCTGGAGCAGAGTCAACAAAAGAGATGCAAGCACAGGTGATATGATTATTTAGAACACTGTCTTCTTCACCTACTTAATGGCACTAAATCTGCAATAAAGAGCTTGACTCGGCATACCTTTAGAACTGCATGGAGCTGACTGTTAAGTTGTACTATTGTTGTCCCAAACAACTTGACTAAAGAGATAATGTTAGTAGATTAGATTACCTCGACTGAATTGGATATCTGACATCTTACTCAATAAGTGTGAAGGACTTCAAAATTTGAAGATGCGAAAAAACTTTTAGGCCATTTCTTGCAGAGTTTGCTTGAGATTCACTGGACGTAGGATTAGAAATTGATAAGGGCTGACTTGACCTTTGCATTTTTTCATCGCATCCTGGCCTTTTTAAACCACGACGGTCATCATTAGGATAAGACCTTACATCAAAACTTAAGCAACAGAGGATCGGTGACAAGTTCACATATCGCAATGAACAACCTTGACTAGAATCAGGTCTTAGATGTCGGAGTTCACTATGTGCAGCGAAGCTTTTCTAAATTTTAGGTGCAGAAGAATATACTTGGGGATTTAGTATCGATGCTTAGTTTTGACATAACAGCATGACTACGTCAAAGAAATTAATGCTACTAATAGTTTTTTTTTTTTGTCAGAATGCTAGTAATAATTTTTTTTTTGGTCGGATAATGCTACTAATAGTTGACAATGCAATTTTCTCAACATTTTGTGTAAAAGCTTGTGGATTCATAATTACACTATTCGCATAGGCTGGGCGTGCATCTTATATCTCTGAGGCAAACCTCCGATCGGTTCCGGATCCAGGTGCGATGGCCGTGGCTTCATGGTATAGAGCAGCTGCATTAGCGGTCAAGGACAAGATGTCGGCTTCCTGATCTTTTGAGTTCCTTTTATGCTACTACAAACCAGAATATCACCGGGATTTTGGCCAATGCCCGATGTCTTTGAGGCTTGATTCTGTTCATTTTGTTGCTCCTGAAACAGAGTGAGCAGGTTAGCTGTAGATTCTTTCTTAGGAAGAAAAATATCAAGATCTGTAAATTTCAGTATTTTTACGTACTTTCTACAAAAATTACAAAAAGGGATAGTGACACAAATGGTCCTTGAACTTTGGCTGAATGTACAATGTGATCCCTGATCTTTAAATTTGTTCAGTGTAGTCCTTGAACTTTAGCCTGATATGCGATATAATTTTTTAACTTTTAATTTGTTCGATATGGTCTCTAGACTTTTGGTACATGTTCAATATAATCACTAGATTGTATGAAAATATTCAATGTTATCCTTGAACTTGAATTAATTGAATGACAATATTGAATATTTTCATATAGTTGAGGGGCTAAATTGAATATTTACCAAAAGTTTAGAATAATATTGAACTAATTAAAAGTTTAGAGATAAGATTGCATATTGGATTAAAGTTCGGGGATTACATTGAATAAATTTAAAATTCATTGATCATTTGTGTCTTTTTACTCTTACAAAAACCACTGAGACAATCATTTGGCGCGTCACTCCTCCTTTGTGTGTCTTTGAGTTATTACACTGAGCATTAGGATAGAACCAAAAGCAGGAATTGAGAAGACAAGAGTGATATCATGAATCATGATGCTGATTAAGTATGAATATATAGAAAACATGTGCCCACAACCATGGAATAATTCCAAGTGGATGCTGCAACGTTACAAACAAGAACATCAAGAATTTACAAGAACCTCAAGAATTTATAGCGTCCATTTTATAGATCACGCGATATCGGAATTTTTACTTGTGAAATATCTTGCTTATTTATGATTAGAATATAGTATTTTTCGTTGATTTTCTTTTTCTCCGCAAATAATACATGGGGAAGATTGAAAATTCAACACCAAACGTCGTCATAAGATATTGGTATGGTTGCTCATTATCTGCCTTATTCATTTATATAAACCGATTTTCTATTGAACTTAATTAATCTCAAAAATAGATGAGATTGCATTAGTTTTCGGAACTTAATTAATTTTAGCCTACAAATAAAGGTTTTTTTCCACCATAAGCCTTCTAAAAGAGCTTGATTACACAAGCCGTCCTCGATGAATTTCAAAGCTATTTTGGGAAGCATAATCATCAACTATTCGAAAATAAAAATGGATATGACAACAAGAATATGATCCGATCTGATCCGACCCGTGTGAACTGAACCTCGATGTACCTTACAAAAATCCATAAATCAAACGTCGAAGTATGAACACATAGCACCGCCATATGGAAAACGCATGAAAAGTGAACTTCCAAAGTCTTCAGTTACCCCCAAATTCATTTGTACTTGGTTCGATGGGCTTGGATTGAGCAAAAAGTCGAAGAACGTGGTCGTTGAATTGGCGATTCCAGTTCCCACGTTCGTCCATTTGGGATCCCAAATTGGGACACGAAAATGACAAACGAAACTTCTGAAAAATCTCACATAAAAAGCCGATAAAATTGAGGTTCTATGAATGATCTTGAGATGGTGGTCCCTTTGCGTGCTTGATCATCACTCCTACCAAGCACGAAATTCTTGTGTAAGACACTGTCTATTTCTGACGCGACACATCGAACCAATCATATACTATCTAATAAGTTTACGCGTTTTTATTTTCTCGAAATCTCGCGTGAATTTCACGTAATGTTTGTACCATAGCGTAATTTGTTTCTTACTTAGATACCGCTCTATGTTCGCGAGTCACACTTCATGGTGTCGATCCCAAGACAAAATCAGCCCAATGTCGCAGCGACCATCAACCAATATATTTAGGTTACGTTTGGTCGTCCGAATTTCTAATCAAGATAGGACTGGATATGATAGGATAAGAAGTCATGGGATTATGTCATATCCTATCTATTGTTTGGTGAATTTTGAATTTAAAGTCGGATATTTTTATATCCTATCTTATCCATTGTTTGGTAGAAACCAAATACCAATATAAAGGACATATATGCCCCTACGTAGTGTCCATGAAATAATATCGATCTCATCATCATAAAAATATCTTTGCTTGACCAAAAAAGACAAAAACTACTGTCACAAATTCACAAGGTTTGCTACTCTAATGCACATACTGACTAACATTACTAGCCATAATTGATCTTAGCAGAAAATATGTGGTGCTTCGTGAACTCAATGGAGAACGAAAGGGCAGAAGGTGGATTCTGGAAGCCTAGAGGAGAACCCCGTGATATAGTTGGTGATGCTTCCGTCGATGGTCAAGTAGCAACTCATGAATTCTTTGAAGCACAAGGCCCGCATGTTAAAAAAACTAATTGGCTGATGCTGGAGGACTATATAAGTTTGAAGGTGTCAAGAGAAGCTGTTTTGGCAAAGTATTACCCGAATTCCACGTTGTCTATGCTAATTCATGGGTGCATTTTTACTCTATTGCCAGTCAATAGTCAGCTTAGGTTGGATTTCATGCAGGATGCTAATTCGCTTTGCAAAGTCTTCTATAGTAGTAGCTCGCCACCATCTAATGGTGAAATGCTGCAAAATGGTACAGGTACTGAGATCCACTGAGAAAATTACGTTTACTCACTGCCTCCGGATAATTTCCAACATACCTACCGAGCAATGTGTAACCAACCAGATTTCACGGATTGAAGCTCGAATTCACCGAGATGGAGCTTAAATTCGTCAGATTAGAGCTACGGAGAAGAAGACGTTTCGACTCTTGCTACTTTCGTAGTTTGGTTTCGTGAAACTTTGATGTGAGAGGAGTTGCGCGTGTGAACGAAGGAGAAAGAAAAGAAGAGTGTAGGGTTTTTTGAAAAATAGCTAGACAAGAGAAATCCTATCCGAGTCTATCTACCTCCCCCTTATGATTTTTTTATTAGGGTTATATCTCTTTTATATCCGACTTTATTCTATTCTAGAGATCTACCAAACACATGATAGTATAAAAAATATCCTATCCCAACTTTTATAGGAAGCAAAAGGAAACTAAGGAAAGAAAAGCCGGACTTTGAGATTTGAAGAATTCATTAGCACTGCATTTGTTTATAAACTGTCGTGGCTTATCTTCATTGGCTGCTTAAAACAGGCCCCACCAGCTCGATTTTCACAATCCGTCACATCACTTTATAACTCAATTTGGCATATCGATCCGAATATCGCTAGCAATAGCATGGCTCAAAAGTCATATTCCCTATCTAAGCATGGGCACAGACCGCGCAAGAAAGCCACGAGGTTCCATTCTTTGGCCTTCACCTATCAATTTCACTTACGATGCATGATGCGTAAGTACAAATCGTTCGAGTCCTCAATCGCTTCAAAGCACGGACAAAGCATAGAACAGCAAGAGCATCAGGGAACAGGAATTTAGTAGGGCCGGCGACTCATCCTCACCCATGAAGAGATTATTCGGAAACTGACTTGATGATGTTGAAATCGAATAAGTTTTTTCGTGACTAAACTTTAGACCATTAACACATTCATACCAAGAATTTAGTGTACCGTGTATGTCGCGAATCCTCCTAAAATTTCATTATTACATATGATCTTCTTAGTTTATAATTCCATGCTAAGTTGATTAGTTTATGTTCAAAACAAGGCTTCTTCGTACAGATCTTTAGCTTCACATTCAACCCATTGACCAAAAGGTTTAATTAATTTTTGCAATATGCTCTTTTCCCTCCAAATTTTTTTTATTTGGTTTTTTTTTGGTCGAACTTTATTTGGTTATGGAATGACAGAACTCACGTAGGTTGATACCTGTCAGCGGTCTTAGCCCATGATGACATATAATTAATAGCGAGGACAAAAGTAAAATTTATTTTTAACTTCCGATTTTTGTTTGATTAATTATTATTATTATTTTGAAGCGAATGGAGGGATGATGGTAGCCAGATTCTCCATGACATGCACGCAAACATCACCACAAAAAATAATTACAATGATAATAAAAGAGAAGCAACTGTCCTTCGTAATCATTTTCGTCTTAGGGTTCTTGATTTCCGTATCTAAAACTCTATACCCTATTATTATTTATGGCAAAAAGCCACCAAAAATTATAAATTATGCTCACTGCAACACATTTATCTTACGCTTTATTTTGTGACACCAAAAACCCCAAATTTGTATCTGTGTGACACATTTACCATCCGTTAAAGTTTTGTCAATGAGAACCGTTAAAAATCTGCGTACATTGACGTTAGAAGCAAACAGTGTTGACATGGCGCCCACGTGGCTTAAGTGAAATAAAAAATAAGTTTTTTTGATTGAAAAACCATCTAATGGAAACCAAAATGAGGGTAAATGTGTCACATAGGTACAAGTTTGGGATTTTTTATGTCACCAAAAAAATTTTAAGGCAAATGTGTCACAGTGGGCATAATTTGAGATTTTTTATGTCATAAAAAAATTCAGAAAAAATGTGTCATAATAGGTATAGTTTGAGATTTTTTGTGACTTTTTCCTCATTATTTAACCATCTAAAGCTTCCTTTCTCTCCCTCTAAAACATTTCCCCTTAACATTACCAGTCGCATGTAGTACCATGTCTTGGATTACACATGGATAATTACTAAAAAAGTTCTAAAGATGTCGTACAGATATCAATTCAGTCATAAAATTTTCAATTTAATCAATTTAATCCTAATTTTTTTTTACTATTTACTAATTAGTCCTTCTAATCAATTTTGGTAGAAAATCGATGACGTGGTAGTACAGTTAATGCCACTCGTTTTACATGGTACGGCCGGCACTGATGTAAACAATTTTTACAATTTTATGTTTTCCAAGTTTTTTCTTTTTTTTCCTTTTCTTTTCTTTCCTTTTTCTTTTTTCTTTTTTCTTTTCCTTATTTCCCTTTGCCTGTCGCTGGGCATCGGCAACCTCCGCCAACCACCAGCGAGGGCAAGGAGCAGCAAATCCAATGAAGGAAAAAAAATAAAATGAAAAAAAAATTCAGAAAACTTTTAAAAATTTTAAAAAATCACTCACATTAGCGCTAGTCATGCCACGTAGAACACCGACGTCCACGTCAGCAATATCCAACAAAAATTGATTAGAATGAGTATATTAGCAAATCGCCAAAAGGTTTGGGATTAAATTGACAAAATTTAAAAGTTTAGAACCATATCGGCCATCATATAATAGGTTTAGGACAC